GAGAAACTGCAAATGCAGGACACTGGTTTGCAGCATCAAGAAACCAGAGACCGATTTGTAAGTCATCAACATTAAAGTAATAATTTGTTCCTATTACAGATGGCAACGGTTACAAGGCTATCAAGTGACGATCCGAAATCATTTATGCGACATGTTCTGTCGCACTTTTTGACACCTGAGGTTGCCAGTAAATTCACGTTACTTGGCACCTCTTCAAAACGAGCACTTCAGAAATGCCTGTTTTATGGCTGCGTACAAAGTAACTCATATTTAGTATTTAAACTTCAGGTGCGTTAACAAATCGTTTTCTATCATCCTCTGTGAACGAAAAAGACCTTGCGAAGCTGTGAGAAATAGCCCTACAAGTTTATTTTCACGATGTCAGAGACAAAGTGATAAAGCGTAAAAGAAGGAAAGAAGAGCAGGTATGTACTAGTTTTAAGTGATAACTTACCTTACGGCTCTATAGTTACAGTCATCACTGTTAACGGACATAACCGTAAGTTTCGCATAAAGTACGTTGCTGTGCCAAAGCCTGTCATTCAGATGTCCTTGTGACGTGTTTTTTGGACATTTCAGAATTCACAGGAACACTGTTTTAATTCTCAATAGCCGAACATACGTAGCTCAAGGCAAACGTCCTTTCAATTTCTTTTTGTTATACCGAATTTTTTATAAACATTTTTCGGTGGCACAGCTTACCTTTTTACTAGAATGGGAAGCTATTGGAGTGTTGAGAAAGTGTGTTTGATCGTTAGTGAACTAGTGGTTAAATGCATATTCCTTATAAATAATACATCACCTGTTCTTTCTTTTGCAGATATTGTCAAATAACCATAAACTAGCAGTCACAATGGAAATGAAAAACAATCTATGCTGAAGCATCATCTACAATGTTGTACAATAATAAGTTTTTCCTTTTAAATAAAATTTTTTAAAAGAGCAAGGACAAAGATTCTAGCAGAATAGCATGAATTCATTTTATTTCGTGGGTTCTCGTCAGCTGCTTACAACCTGTGATATTTAAAAATCATAATTGCATAATGGATTTAAATTGCTTATAGAATATTGTAAATATATACCTAATGTGAAAGAATATTCTACAACATTAATTGTGACAACAGTTCAAAAATGGGTTACAAACAATTGATTACATAATGAATAAACATTGATAGGAATATAGTGATTAGAGTTCAGTTGAAAGATTATTAATTTGAAAGATAGTTGAAAAAAATTAGAATCAATGATGTAATAAATGCAACAGAAAAAGGGGAAAAAATTTTGAGGTTCAGTGAAGGAATCTTTGTTCTTGCTCTTTTCAAAATGATAAAGGAAACTATGTGTATGAAATTTCTCAAAAAACGCCTCTGATCAGTCATTTAAGTCACTGAATCACCTTGTGACAGTAAGTTGAAGAATACCAAGAGACTAAATCATACGAATGTTAACGACAAGTTCATGGTCTCTTTTGATGTAACATCCTTGTTCACCAATATACCACTTTTTGAAACTATTGATATAATTTGTCAGAATGAAGATCTCCTACCTTTACCAGCCCCAGAATTCAAAAAACTACTACTAATATGTACAACAGATGTTCAATACCAATTTAACAACACCATGTATCGCCAAGTCGATGGCGTAGCGATGGGTAGTCCACTAGGTCCAATTATGGCAGGTATTTTTATGGGGTATCTTGAGAACACGATACTTAAACAGGCAATTAGTGAAACAACGGAATACTCAAGATATGTGTACGACACATTTATTATCTGTAATAATAAACAACATGCAATCCGCCTGCTCAAACTCTTCAATAACGCTCATAATAACATACATTTTACTATGGAGCACGAACAGAACGATATATTCCACTTTCTTGATGTTGCCATAAAACGCAGGGGAAACGGGACAGTTCAACGTTCAATTTATAGAAAAAGTAATTGGAATGGCCTCTACCTGAATTTCAATAGTTTTTGTCCAATTAGTTACAAGAAGCCGTTGGTTAAAACACTATTTTACAGGGCAGAAAAGATATGCACCACCGACAAACTGGAAGAAAAATTAATGAACGTAGAAAAATGTCTAAAAGACAACTTTTATCCACAAAAATTTATTAACAAATATAAAAGGCCCAAGGAAAAGAAGAAGGAAATAACTGTGGTCAATAAAAAGCCAGTATATATAAATCTTAACTTTAAAGGTGATGACGTCGCACAAATTATCAACAAGAGACTGAATACAGCGCTAGCCAGAACTTATCCGGCTGCTAAACTTTTAATTCTCTATAAAACAACATGTTCAATGACACAATCAAAGATCGACAAGCAACCCTTTCATGTTACCGCCAACTGTATTTATAAATTTACGTGTACCTGCCAAAGCAGCTACATCGGCCGAACTGAAAGGAGAGCATATCTTAGATTCTTTGAACATGTTCCAAAAAGTCTTAGAACAAGGGAAAGAAAGACTCTGAACAGTGCAATCACCAAACATCTCCTTGATACAGGACATCAGGTAGATACTTTACAATCCTTTAGGGTGATTAGTAAGCAGCCAAACTCCAGTCTTCTGAAGTTTGCTGAAGCCATTGCTATCAGGCGTCAAAAACCTGACCTATGTATTCAAAAGTAGACGGTGGTTAATCTTTCCTTACCCTGGTGACAAATATTCCTTCACTGAACCTCAAAATGTTTTCCCCTTTTTCTGTTGCATTTATTACATCATTGATTCTAATTTTTTTTCAACTATCTTTCAACTGAACTCTAATCACTATATTCCTATCAATGTTTATTCATTATGTAATCAATTGTTTGTAACCCATTTTTGAACTGTTGTCACAATTAATGTTGTAGAATATTCTTTCACATTAGGTATATATTTACAATATTCTATAAGCAATTTAAATCCATTATGCAATTATGATTTTTAAATATCACAGGTTGTAAGCAGCTGACGAGAACCCACGAAATAAAATGAATTCATGCTATTCTGCTAGAATCTTTGTTCTTGCTCTTTTCAAAATGATAAATGGAACTATGTGTATAAAAATTTTTAAAGCATACTGGTTTTCCAGTGCATTTGACTTTATTTTTGGTCTGTCGTTGAAACAAAAGGTGAACATAGGAGACCTTTGGAGTTATGCCAATGGATCAGAAATAAACACTTCTGTGTGTATTTAAGCAAAAATTCGACAATTCAGCGGATATTTCATTGAAAATTCGACAATTCAGCGGATATTTAGACAAAAAATATGCAATTCCGCGGATATTTAGGCGAAAAGTAGATTATTTATCGACAAGGCGGGTAAAAGGAGAGAAATCCGCATTATTTCCCCGGACGGGCGAAAAAGGCGTCATTCTGGCGCGTTTTCCCCTTTATTTCCCCTTTGTTCGCCTTTATTTCCCCTTTTTGAGTTGTCTGGGGAACAACATGACTTTACGAATGTTTAGATTCTCACAGCAAATCCGTTTACATCAAGAGAAATTGACAGGGCTGCTAGGTTATGGCAACTAAGTGCATGCTGTTTAGGTGGACTTCAGTAAAGCATTCGATATGGCATCGAATGGCAAACTTCTGTTGGGGCTGGTAAATCTGGAAATTATCAGACTTCTCCTTTAATGGATAAAAGATTTCTTGGTAGGCTGCAGACTGAAAGTAAGAGTAAATTGTAGATCCTCCCTGTGGAAACCAGTGCTCGGTGTGATAATCCAAGGCTCTGTTCCAGGTTTTTTGCTTCTCATTCTATATGTAAATGAACTACTGAGTATCATCGATTCCCCCGAAGCTACTATACGCCGATTATGTAAAAATTTGGTAAAAAATAACGGGAGACGCAGATGCGTATACTCGCTTAGGTGTTCTGATTGACTCGTTCAAAAAATGGATGATACCTACCAACCCCACAAAGTGTTTCCGTATGCCTACTGGGGATACAAAAGCGAATAAGTAAAGGATTAGGAAGAGTCAGTGAGCCACGGTCTTAAGACCATGGCCCAACTCCGTGCGGTTGATGCTAGGGTGTTCATAACTCTATAAGCCTTAAAACAGACATTTATCAAGTTGGATTCTAGTATTTCCACAACAATACACACAGTGAAATCCAAAATTGAAAATTGTTTGAGCTGCAAGCCGCTGTTTGTAAAGCGAATAATATACCCTGGAAAAAATTAAGGAGGGAAGGTGAGTCTTCAATTCCAGAGTTCTAGGACAAAACATCACTGGTGTACTAGTCTCCATCAACTCTTATCAACTCTTGGCCCCTGTAACCGGAAGAAATAGTGTCCACACTCTCAAATGACTGGTAGAAGAGAAGACTATACATTCACATAAACTTACCAAAAATAGAAAGATATGGATCATAGATCTTCTGTCGATTGGGTGTTGGTTTGTTAAATATTACTGGTCAAACCGGCAATCTTGAAAGATTTTCAGCGCGCGATGTCAGAAATGGAAGTTGATGATACAGGGCCAGTGGCATCTCTCAGTGAAAATAAGAAACGTTTCGAAATAAAAAAGTGGTATGCGGTTGCTTTATGGGCTTGGGATATCGTCGTTGATAATTGTGCTATCTGCCGAAATCACATAATGGACTTATGTTTGCTTGGGTTATTCTCTCCTCATAATATACGTAATAGGTATTGAATGTCAAGCTAACCACGCCTCTGCTACAAGTGAAGAGTGCACTGTTGCTTGGGGTGTTTGTAATGTGAGTTGAACTTTGTAAAATTTAATCTTCCACAAAGCATGCCTTTCATTTTCACTGTATATCTCGATGGCTGAAAACACGTCAAGTTTGCCCTCTAGACAATCGTGAATGGGAACTGCAGAAGTAAGTAATAGCTTTTTCTGTACTATGTTTCATTTCAGGTATGGCCACTAAGTGAGCCTGGTGATTACTTTTTGACTTATCAGTTATGGTTGTACCTGTTCAGATAATAAAATAAAATAATTACAACACGTTATTCTTTTCTATTACTTTTGTGACGTTTTCTATAGTAATGCAGTGTTTTAGACGCATGGTGAGTTGGTGCTGTGGTCTTTGTGCAAATTCAGGAAGTGACGAAGTGAGTACTGAACGATTTTAAAACAATTTGAAAAAACCTTTTTGTTTATTTCGAGTCATCTTCTGTCTAACCTAATCAAATGCTATTAAGTTTGTATGTTTTATTGCTTAGGGCAGAATTATTAAGTTGTAGTACCTAGTATGAAATGTTATTTTACGATATAATCTCGGGACTCCACATTATACAAATAATCCAGTGAAACACTATAAGTAACCAAAGTAAGTTTGAATCATATATCAGCATTTGTTGGTAACTTTTAAATGCTTTGCGATTCACACAAACATTCTCAGTTAGTCCTTATACCTATCTTTTTATGGATATAAGGCTAATACGGCTTTGTTTTGATCCCCGTGTTTCCAAGATGTTAACGATTATTCAGAACCAGATTATCTTACTCTATTAGATTCCTCACTTGTGTATGTTTCCCGTTCTTAGATTCATTATAGGATCAACAGCGTAAGGCCGCTTAAATTACAAGATAAACAACACTCGAAGGTTGCGATTTGTTTCTTACTTGCAAGTACGTAATGCTTACTTTCTCCATAGATCATCCTGTTTATCTGGTGATTTTAAAGTGAATACTGTTCTGTTGTAACCGCGTTAGAACTAGTCGTCCAATGTTGACATCAATGATGATACATAAACCGGAAAGATACAGTTTAAAGTTAGTGATTCAATGTTTTCGTAATTGGAAGTAATATCCTCAATGATTAATTGTTAGTGGCTGATGAACATGAAAGCAGACTCTGTAGATTAAATATAACTTTTTGATAAAGTTAACTGATACACCAGTGTCAGTACTTTCAATCATTCCAAGCCCTTTGACTGAATGCTAAGCCCACTAGCAGGTTCTTTGCGTTCGTTGGTACTACTGTGTCATTTGACAACTGCAATTCCGACGTCTACTAATTATCTTTCTGTTAACCCGCTTGACACTACCAAAGTGTGTGTGTATAGCTGTTTTCAAACTTGAATATATCGTCATCCATCCACACTTTTGGTATACAAAGTATTATGCATAGTTTATATTCGCGCACCTAATAAATTGTATTAATAGCATAATTGTTACAGTATGCTGCGTTTCTAAAATTTGTTGTAATTTCCGAAAAATACCATGTTTCACTTCAGTTCACTTGAACAGTGTGTATGCTCGCAAACAAGAAATTCATTCATGGAGCTATAACTTAGCTAACAATTGATTTTTTAATTGAAGACGAGTGCAGTGACTATAAAACCCGTAATTAACCATTTCTATGTGCTTCCCGCGTCAAATGTACCTTTATCCTTATAGTTTAAGGACCGAGTGCTAATCTCTTGATAATCTCCGCACTACTTAAACTTAGCGTACAAAACTGACTATTATACATTATGCATTAATAGCGATGATAGTATTATTTGATTGTGTCATCTTAATTCTAACTGTACTTTGAACCCGTCACTAGTGTTCACTGTTAGATCGGTTCCGTTGGTCTGTTGAGCGAAATTTGCCAACCCTGTATTAAAACCTCTTAGATATCTAGAATCTTCGTGTTCAAGTTCTAGAAAAGTTCCCATGAAAAGTGCTGATACGATTTGTAAGAGGAGCGAGAAAACAACTTAGTTGTCGGCATTTAATGACTTCACACAACTACAGCTAAACATGTACACCAAAAGCTGTGTTTTCTTTTCTAAGGATAACCACAGATTACGTTAATAATCTTCATAATAAACTCTGTTTCATCTAAGTAGTAAACAATGCGATTGGTGAATTAATCATTATTGATAAATCCGTAGTTTCTACGTATAAGTATCCACAGGATATTCTTGAAGTAATCAGTTTTTAAGTACCGTAAAACAAGTGACTCCGTAGTTTTCTACCAATCAGTGATAAATAGGGATCTAAATTTCTCTGCAAATCAAATAATCTACACTCCAGACAAATGTTGGTTGCAATATTGAATAGGAAAACAGAGCTATCTTGATTGATTCATATATGATGGTCTAATAGCTTAGGGTGTCGGGCTGAACAATTCTACTCAGAACCAATCCCCACACCCTAACTAATTAGATTTTAGAAAAGTGAATCACCATTCAAACGAAAATATGTCAGAAAACTGGAACTCTTAAGCTATTCGACGAAGTAAATATGGGTGTATTAGTTGTCAGTCAAAAAAATTAGTGGCCATAAATGAGTATAAATATTAAAAACAACTAATTGTTATTCGTTTCTATTCATTGCAGCACCATTGACCGTACTGTTGGACTTGGTTTCGATAGTTTAATTATTTTCAGTGTTAAGGAAGTGGGAAAGTTAGCTTCACTAACTTGATATAAACTTCTTATAGTTCCCTTCAAAAACTAGTGATAGAAGCCAATATCGAAATACGTCATAAACATTTACCAGTCCACCAGACTTATCCTATGCAAATTGCGCTAATGGATAGAGATCTTCCCTAAAGATCATCGGCATGTACTTATAACTTATTTACTACGTACAGTAGTTTCAACTTTCTGATTTTCCCGAAATCTATAGGACTAATTTCGATTTCGTCTTCACCACTCTGGTCTTCTAGAAGACTGAACGGTAACGTACCAGGTTTTCCTATCATTTTACTTTACATTCCTCTATAATATATTTGTACACCCCATGAAATATCACTGTCGTTTTTATGACTCAGTCTGAATACCTCAGTTAATATGGTTACAGACCGTTCCAGGGTATTATTTCTGTGATTAACTGAAAGACGGAGCTTTAAACTATTGATGCTTATCATATCAACTTTTACCCATCTAGCTTTCGTTTTTCATCAGTCAAAATAATTACATGTAGTCGATATTCCTGTTTATGTTACTTATCTTGTTAGATCCTACTACAGACAGTAGTTTGTGAATATATCAAGTACTTTTCTCTTAAATGTGCAATAATGCTTTAGGACTGGTCGATTCTCACTTCAGCTAAATGGAGTAGTAGTTATGCGGGCTACCCGCTTTATTTATCTTCAATAAAATGTTCGACGAATATAACATTTTCTAACTAGTCTTGGTCGTTTACCGTCCCGCTTAGTAAATCCAATACAGTGACTCAATCGGAAATCGCCAAACGACAAGTCCATGTGATTAAATAAGAATCGATATTTTTTCCCAAGGGATGAGACATATGCCACCAGGCTCAATTTCCCTCGAGACAGATACATATTAATAAGTGCAGATGCAGTCGATTCGGTTAAGCAATTAACCTTCTTTCTCTCGAGTAGCCGAGCTTGTGTGTAGGGAGAGTACGTATCAGTGTGGGCTCTTAGATGCGGTGCGTCATAACAGTTTTCTAGAGACCGAGGATAAGATGATAACCATTAAATATTTTGCTTTACTAATGTAAGATCCGTTATCACCGTTCAGCCAACTGAAGGGTGAAAATTCGGCTAGTCCCGGTATTGATTGGTTATATACCCACTTTATCTTTTTTAGCAGACTTTAGCAAATAAGTACTATCATACAGTTCTAGCTATATCTTTTGTACATAAAGATATCATCTGACTGTTTGTAATACACTAATAGCCTACTAATCAAAAAATGACCCAACGGCTATATCACACAACTAAGAGCGTTTTACTTTAACTTTTTCGGTCGTTTTAAATATTTTGGTCAGCCATCATGCAAAATAATCTATTAAGTTCATAATCTATACTTTCTTCTTATGTTTCCAAGTGCTGTGAATCTACTTTTGGTTGTAACACATTTTTGTCTAGCTCCTGAAATGCCTGAATGACGTAATACTGTTTTAAAAACGGGTGAAAAATATTGTCTTATGAACACTACAATAGCAACATAGTGCTTAAAATGGATTTGATTGATACATGTCTATTTTGCTAGTGGAGGGGGGAAGGTCGTGTGATTTATATGCTTTTGGTTCATGTGAATTGCAGTTCATTTCTATTGATTTTCTCTTCTTGTGCTGTGACAAAGTGTGGCTTTTTGAATCGATGCGCTTATTTGCGACTTTACATTGATATATTGAATGGTCAGACCACTTCTTTAACCTTGTATTATTCAGGAGAGATATTATGTCTGTTGTGCTGTGTTATAGATTACCTTGATCCAAGTAAAGTAACTGAGTACTGATTACTAATGACAACCCTATTATTGAACTAAAGCTCTTAAAGGTACTGATATTACAAGACATTACAGGTAGTCGACACATTAAGTTATTGTTACGTTGCTAAATGACACTCAGTATAGAGAAAAATATTAGAACTTCTAGACAGTATTATCTGTTAACACACAATTAAAGTTACTCTACGCCTAATAGGTTTAACACTTCAGATATCAGACAATTTTCCACTCGTAATAACCTAAAGGTCATTTTACTACTGGTTCATTAATGAATAACTAAGTTCTGTCGTGAAAAATCGTTCGAGTCTTATCACATACGGTACAAGCAATCTTCTCAAACACGATACGGTTCAATAACTGTTTAATTGCATTCATTAGGTTATCAAACTCATCTTTGGTGTGAAGCATAATGCATGTGTTATTGGTTTTCACGTTCCGTCGAAAAATATATTCACTTATTTAAGGGTTCATAAGCCTCGTTGTATGGATAGTATGAGCCTCAGATTGTTTTAGGATTTACTTTTGTTGTGAGATGTAAATATTGAACAGTACATTATATCAGTTAAATCAAAATAACAAAAAAGAATCTATGGTCCAGTTATGAGAGGATGAAACATTTTACTCTCTAAATTCATCCATAGTTTAGAATATCACAGGAAAAGTATCACTAAAATCAAGAGGACGTTCAAAAAGAAAAGGTTTAAGAATTGTTGGATATAAATAAAAATAATATATTTGTAATATCCCAATGAGTAGAAAATTGGATTTTTCTGACGTTTCGTGGCTTAGTGTAAGTCACTTCTTCAGAGAATAAATAACCAAATTAAATTAATCCAAGTTTAAATAGTACTATTTAAACTTGGATTAATTTAATTTGGTTATTTATTCTCTGAAGAAGTGACTTACACTAAGCCACGAAACGTCAGAAAAATCCAATTTTCTACTCATTGGGATATTACAAATATATTATTTTTATCTATAACAATCGACCCAATGCTCAATTTATTCGAAATTATCAAATCAAACCTTGGTAATGACACCTACAATTGTTGGATAGTTAGTAGATAGATATTAAAATGGTGTTCACTACACTAACCAAGGTTAAATGGGTCCATATAATTATATTAACGATACCTAAGGTCTACAAACTGTAAGGGAGGAATCTTCAGTTACGCAAACCACCCAGACGTTCACTCATCGGCTTCATCAATACGTACTGTATTTTCCTTTGCCTAGCTTAGATCTTATCTTACCTATACTCCGACCAGCATAAGATTATTTTCTAACCAATAGTGTAACGAATGAACCATTACACATTCCTCTACTCCAGCTAATTGCTACCTGTCTCAATTAGTCACCGATTGCTTAACAATCACTTGATATAAATAAGACCAAGTAAATAATTACGTCTGCGTTTTGTGTAATTTTTTAAATCACAGTATACGTTGTTGATCTAAGACTACAGTTTCAGTCATTCTGTCATTACTTCGTACTTGCTCTAGATTCTGGGTCTGAAAACCTAAACAGGCAGTCGTAGTACATCTGAGACGATTTGTTAATTAGGTAGAAAAGACTGATATATTAGTACTTACTCAAACTAGAATTCAAAGGTGTTTTCGAGTTGATGCGGTTAACTGTGTATTATTAAGTAAAAAGGTTCTGTAGCAACTTTTAAACACCAGTTAACATGTCATTTTCACCTTATATGTTATTGTTTATTATATTCATACCACTGTATTTATTCGGTTAATTTTACTGATGCAAATTTAGGATGAGGAAGCTGAACGTCAGAGATTAATTCCAAGCCCCCAGCTTTCATACGATGGGATACAGCAACCATATGGAAGGTATACAAATTTTTGACTCATTTGCTATGCTCATCTGTTGAGTTGTGTATGTGGTGTAATTTTACTATCTCCCTACTAACCATTATTTTTCTTCAGATCATTCGTACCCAACCGTACCTGCTGTCTTAGTGAAGTAGTAGAGGTTACACAGCATGCTAATCCAGTCGAGTTTATTGGCTCGGACACTCGTTCCTTTATGTCCAACCATACTAGAAAGGTCGACTGGATAACAGCAAAACTAAAAGTAGCGATTTATTGTCTTATGGTAAACCCTACCTTCCGTTTGTACCGAGGTGTTACGACAGTAGTGTTTTTCTCAGGTAACCAGCATCTGCAGCGATTCTGCCTTTTCACAACGAAAGGAAAGGATTACAAAAGGCTGATCCTAAAAGTAGTATACCTCACCATACTCTATGGATTTATCTGGCAGTAAAGTATTTAGCGTACGGAACTAACATATCAGGAACGTCTCTCAAAAGGCCTGTGTGTGACTCGCCTCGAACAGTTGCGCCTTTAGCTCTGTAATATACTCCTAGGTTTCCACGATCACTACTAGTCCAGTTTCTTTTTGAGATACTCCGAAAATAGGTTTCTTTCCACAATGTAAACAATCGAGGAGTTAAAACAGCCCACACTTCTCTGACACCACTCAAGACAACCTTTTCTACAACCAAGTTCTTTCGTCTCTTATTATTTATGTTGTCTCTATTATCAACTCTTCTCCCATAGCTTTATTCTTACCTCTATGTCCCACCAATCCTAACTATTTGCGTTCAAAAAGTGTTATTCCTGGTCTTCTAAAACCAAACTATACCTTGGGACTTTCAGTGTTCGGAACTTATGTCGAGTCGAACAACAGGCTAGAATCTTGTGCCACTGACTAAGACCATTCGTATTTACCTAATAACAATAAGACCGACTCCAAACATTTATTTACCTTTCGATAAGTGTTGGTGACCCTTGTATGCTGTATGAATCAAAATCTACTTACTAACTACTTTTTGCCATAAAATAGTTTCCTGTAAAGATTAGTACATATTTTGGTATCAACTACTAAATGAGATTCAAAGATCTGAAAAGCTTAATGAGCTTGATCAAAGAAGTCATCCGTTGTGCGTTTTCCTTGAGCACAAAAGATCTGGAGAACAACAGAGGGTTTCTTGAATATAGTCTTAACTGTTTTCCCTGTCTGATCAGTAGTGATGTAATGTTTATATTTCTTTCTGTATTTTTATGGCTTGATATTACTTTGTGTGGTATGTCGTTCAATAATAACCCTAATATTCAAATTTTGATAAGTGCAATATTACGCATTTCATAATTTTATTATGTATTAAAATAAAATTCTTGTCTTCCTGATATAACTAGTGATGTGGAGAGTCTTTCCTCCATGTAAATGATTTCATAGTTCTTATTAAAGAGATCTTTTTCGTCATGTATATACAATAAGTCAAATGGTTATCTGAATTTTTGACTGATTATCCTTGAAACGAACGACCTGTCACGGTTTCAGTACTATCAGGACCATATAGCATTTATGGCAAGAAAAAAGGACAAGAATTGTGAAGAAACAGATCAGCAGTGTAACTCATTTCTTAGTGTCTCCGTGTAAAAAACATATCAAGCAAAAGTCACATCATATAGTTGTCAACCTTCTGGTCGTTAACTTTGAGTTTGGGTGATTTTTCGTTTTCGTACTGATCCGTTACAAATGCTACCCATTATGTTGTAAGAGTTTGATTTTTCCCCTGATTAGTATTCAGGATTGGATTGATAATATAGGCTAGCTGAACATAAATGCCCCAATAATTCGTGTATTTATACGTTGTTCGCCATGGAGCTTAGTCCCAGTAGGATCTCGACCCTATTTACATACACCTCAGTGTGCATACTTACTAAGACTATCCTAGTACTTATCAGTTTAAATTCTGAAACTTTTCTACTGAGTCACCACATGTGCAACAGGTATGACACGTTAATCATAAATCACCCTGTTCCAATATCACAGTGAGCTTCAGTTTACTGGTATTAAACCAGCCCATTCATTGTACTGGTTCTTCTTTTGTTTTCAACTCCGAAAATATTTTATGAACTTCGACTTAACTTCCTACAAAGATCACTCTTAAGATCATAACTGATAATTATTATGAATTGATGTAAAATCTTCGATCTTATATTGATAAAAGTCTTTTTAATTTGATTGTCTACTTTCTAAATTACAGTTTTTCACCTCCAGATCCTGTTACAAATGAACCTCAGTCAGATATCAATACCATGATGACAAATATAATAAAAGTTGCTGAGAAGTGAGTCATCCAAGTTACAAATTAATTCGTCCGTGAATATGATAATAGTAATAGAAGTCTATAAAAACTAATTACATTTTTAGCAAATATTTGGTTTGTTGTTTAGCAGTTCCTGAACCCCTTGAGCTACTCGGTAATAAAAACGCATTATCGCATATTGCAGTAATTAAATCGTTTTTTTTCGAAATTCATTATATAAGGTCTTGGTTCTAATAAGCTGGGAGGGAAAAGGAATACAAACCGTCGTAACATTCCCCTTTCGTATCATTAAGAAGCATGACGATGATGTTTAGTCTAAATGATATGATTCTTAGCTGCTGATCTATGAGAGTTCGAACTCACGAAACTTCGGGATCCTTTTTCACATAATGTTTTTAGTGGCCTACATACTTTTAAACAATAATTTTGAATATGTTCAAGGCATTCACTTGTACTAACACACTAATGATGACTCTTAAGTCCTACATTTTAACATGCAAAAAACTGAGAGATAATCAGAAAATCTATTGTATAAATCATTAACAAGACAAAATGGTGTTGCAGAATAACCATGAAGTGTCATATAATATTGTGAGGAGTAGTTAACATGATTTACAGCTGCCATACAGATCCTGTAAATATATGTGACCATGTGCATTATCTCACTGATTTTCCAAGTCATTTGGGCAGTGACATGGTAAATTTCACATATGGTCTTATAAGTGTATTCTCTAAACAAGGTTCAATTATTTTCAAACAATTATAGCTCAGAATTGTATTACTTCATAAGTCTTTCGATCAACAGACACTACCTGCCATCTGATTAAGTTTAACCATGTGCGATATTGTTTCAAGATTGGATGCTTTTCGATAGAAACAATGTTTTTTTGCTCCAAAATCGTGTATTAGTTTAATAATTTTATTTCACCTGACCTTTTTAACTAGTCAAGTGGTGGATGCTGGAGCAACAGATTACAATCCCCTAGACTCACAAGAACATATTGAACGATCAAGATACTACGCGTAAGTTTCTAACAATTTCTCGTTATTTTATCAATTGTTTGGCGTCCAGGCATAAATGAGTGATATGTACATCATGAATATTATCACTAAAACGTGGATTGCACCAAGTCCAATGGCATAATACCGTTACTGGTTAGCTATCATTTGCATATCTTAACGCGTTATCTATTTTTATAACATACAGGAAATATGTACTATATCTAAGAAACACTCATATCAAATTTCCAATTTTAGAAGTTGCGAAATAATAGTTAAGACACTTGACTTTCAACTATTCGACTGAGTCTAAACTTCAGTTTAGACTCGTAAAGTGTGACTTTGATCTGGGTACGAAAACTCTTATTTCATGAGTTATGTAAAGTCAATTATCACTACCAAATTAAGTCGACGAAGTAAGGGTATTTGGTAACTCGAAATGAAGATATGAAACTTGCCTATCATTGAAGCCTTAGCAACTCACCAAAGAAATTTTGAAACGTGTATCCAGAAGTGATATCTTCATCCTATTCTATAATAATTCTAGTCCCCTTCTAATTTTTCATTTATTAGAATGTCTCCTGTTGTAAGCAAATAAACTCTCATCTTTACACGTTTTTCTAGAAACATTTGGTTTCCTATGCTTGTTTCTGACATGTAGATTTTTAAATACTTCATGATGCAAAACTTACTCGTCCCACAGTACGCTACTGCGTATGCCGTATAATTATTTATACTTCTTGACAGCTTAGTTAATTGACATCATCGTGAAGGAAACATTCTTCGCTCGGTTCAAGGTCGTAATATCAACCATTTTGTATAATTTTAGAGAAAGCATAGCTCGACAGCCTTTAGGCCCGCCACCGTTGCCAGTGTTTTTGCCAAGAACATTTGGAAATCCTGCGTCAATCATAGATGCACCGCTGGTAGAAATCGCTGAAATTAATGAAGTATGTTAAGTCTTACTGATATGCCTTACTTATTTTCAATGCTTTTATGTTTGTGTCAACGGGTTAGCCTGATATCTGGCTTCGAGAGGTATTCTGAATATGAAGGCTAGTGGTGCTACTCGACTCCAAAACTAGAGTAGGTGAAGGGGGTTTCGAACCTGTGGCTTAGTTGTTTGGTCGAACCCCTTAACTACTGAGCCACCACCACTCTAACCCTTGTATAACAGTATTACTTCCACTTAGTTGATGTTCTTTTGTTGCTTTTATAGTTTGATTTCATAATTTGTCTTAACTAAGATGGGTTTGGTAGTTTAAACCTCTTTCTATTGGATCAATGTGTACCTGGACAATTCTTTTTAACTTTTATCAAATGGCAAGGGCTATATCCATTCGTTACTAACACACTAAAAGTTCACCGAACGATAAGTATTTATTGATTACATACGATTATGTGATACCACATTAGGACCCAAATGAAACTTACAGCGGATAGCAAGACTTGCATTTTCTCAAGCTTCTTACAAACATAATCATAACAAACTGGATTATTAGAGTGCGAAATAGGTTACTAGGACTGGAGTATCCATACTCCGTAAACAATGGAGCCTCAGATAAGAATCGAAATATATGCTTAACACTATATCCATAGAAAACAATCCTTTGTTCACGTTTTAATATAAGTCTATGACATATGATATTCAGATAATGGATCACGAATACCAACTCTAAGTAACATCTCCCGTTTCATATGTATTTAAATTTGATTACTCTACGGATGATCAATGATATTTACGATTGTATTCGTAATTTGAGCTAAAAAATTTCATAACCGCTTTTCCTCACTTTGTTACAGATAAAACAGCTTGCAAAGGAAAATGCTGTATTTGTTCACGAAATGACGACACAAGAAAAGGATGATCTCATTGCCCACTTCAATCAAGCATAGAGATAAAGAAAACCTTACAAGCTTTTCTTCGAAAGTATATGCTCTCAATATCTACCAGACTATTTTATCTTTTATATATTTCTAATTTTTGTACAGAAAATCCTAAGTTTAATTGTATACAACAATTTATCTAATTATTTTTCAAAAATATAACAATAGAAATCAATGTTCACTAAATCTTTGATAAAAACAGAGTTGATTAGGCCAGATAGTTCAAGTAAAATGCAAAATGCTTTCGTAGAATTTGATAACAATTTGTGGACACCGAATGTTTGCTTGAGCAGCAGGTACTACATCACGGACTTGACTTCCTTTCCTAATATTTACTGATGAGTTATGCAAGCAATTTTTTACCATTTGATCAGGAAATACAGTTCATTGTCCTTTTTCGTAACCATATTGATAAAGTCAGGAGCTAGCCCACGATCAAACCCGTACGGTTCAGAGCCTTCAGGCTGCAAATATGTCGTCAAAAGTATCACTTCTTACAATAGTAGCTACTGTTGGCTCAATGGCTGCGTGTTTATCGAGGAAACGCCTGAGCAATACTGGACAATTTAAGTTGGACTGTGGTTCCCAAGTATTTTTTGAACTGGATGGTGATTTTGAAATAACATTACCACTTACGGAGAATGTCCTTTCCATTTGATTAAGTACTCTGGTTCTCCATTGATTGTACGCATATCTAGTATATCTTCCACCTCAAATTCTACCTCATCTCCGGCTGAGTTTTTCCAATGTCGAGTAGGCATTGCCTAAAACGAAAATAGTTTGGTAAATAACGATATGCCTGTGAAGGTTCTAATACTAAACTATTAACAACATTTACATTAGACTAGGTGGTATTCTAGGACCCAAACTCTAAAGAGGTATGAGCCTATAATCTCGTGACTAGAAGCCGATTACTTTAATGGGAATTGACCATTCAAATGCACTTTAAAGCATTATTTCATATACAACCCGGCAGCTTGTAAGTTTAGACGTCGCAAGTATAACGTTATACGGACTTTTTATTGCGTTGTGAACATACAAAAGAAAACTAAGCGATTGTGGGAGCTGTCAAGTTTCGATAAATTCAAAAATCTAGGATCGTTTGATAGCTGCTTGTTACACTGACGAATACTAGCTGCTGCAATAGTATGGTGGAAAAATGTGCAAGATTTATGTTTACCCTAATACGACGATGGTAATAATAAATGATAAGCTTCACTAAACAACAGTACAGCGACAAAACAAGTAAGAACAAAAGACTACAGAAACAGGAATTTACTAAACAGTTTCCCAAGCAAAGTGTTGAGCAGTCGGACTACATACACAAAATAGTATATCGTTAGGTAGAAAAAGTAGACTACCCCCGAAACCTCCAATTACGTTTTATTCGAAATACACGTAACTAAAAGATGGGGGTTGAGTGGTTAGTTAAGTGGACAAATAATACGAAGTGACGTTGCTAATTGAGTGTCCAAGCGGAAATTCGACCGAAATCGTTGCTGAACAATAAAAATGAGTACGTTCAATGGTCAGATTTTCTCTAAATGCATAATATAAATTATCTTGTGTGAAGGACTACTCGCTGACGCCGTTAAAAAGTGAGACAGGTTAGATAGTTTTAGTACCGATTGTGCCAAAATCATCTACATACTAAAAGCAATTATACCATCCATCACTCCTACATTGCTTTACAGTCGCAATAAATAAATAGGTTGAAGACGTGTATGTTGCGAATACTCAATTGTGTCATTAAAGCGTTACTTGTATATTTTGGGACGATTAAATTGGGAATACTGGCACTAGGAAAACCAGTTAATGATGCTGTGAGCACTCACTAAATTAAATGGCTGTCGCTTAGTAGTATGAGACCTTTCATAAATATTTTTAGCTAAACCACCACAGCGAGATGGGAAATCAATAGGAAGAGAAAATATCATTCCATATGGAAAGCTAAACATAAGGAATATATTACAAAGAGAACAAACAAAAGCGAAGAATCAAAAGCATGGGATGACATTAAACTCAAGAGTTAGGGGACTAGTTAGTACCAGTACAACCGATTTCAGGATATATCAGTTAGAAGCGGCGAATTATTATTACATAATTCTCGAGCACTGTGTCTTCTGTCTTTTCTTCCGAACACATTATCTGCATTTTCTCTCAACCATTCACTAGTAAGCACCATCTTAAACATATCACTTTTTTCCTTTTACATGAACCGACATATTGGTTTAAAGTATTAAGTTGTATAAAGGTAAGTTTTTTTCGTCTAACTACAAGAACTAACATTCTGACAATAGAATTACCTGACCTGACTAGTTATTAGGGTAGAGAATCTTTACATGTAGATATGGTTTATTTGGATTTTCTCATCTGGCATTTTTCCATGATCTTACAAACGAGCAAGTATATTGTACAACAGCTCGCTGTGCATTATTTTTCAGAAGTAGAACGAAAACCGTGAAAACACCGCCCAATTATTCGAACAGGAAGAACTGTTTGTGGACTAGTACTAGAGCAGTAATTACTCATATTGGATACAAGCTTGGATACCTAAGTATTGTGTGAAGGTTGATAATCAGTTGATGAGGAGCGAGACTAAAATTAATGGACAAACCAATGAGATTTAAAATAGCAAGCATTGGATCTTTACGCGAAATCATGTATTGTAGTATCACTTAAACATCGTCCCTAAATTGTAGTCCCATTGCTTAGTATCAATGGGTCAGACAAAAATAAATTCAAAATCAAGGTTATCACAAACAAATAACTATAGGTACCATGAAGCCACCGACATACAACCAATTTCCAACTTCGCAAACGACCCTGAGCATTTAAATACAACAAAGCATTAAAAGAAATGCATGTTTATACGACATGTGTAACAAGTAACGCTTCGGTTTTTGGTTAGGCTTGGCATGTTGTCTTTAGTAGTGTTAAGTTATTTTAGTCACCTAACCTTTATTTTCACGGTCGTAACGTCTGCTAAAATTCTTTTTATGTCAGATTACTGGACTACATTGTGGGATAACATTATTATCAGTGTGACAATTTCCTGATGGATAACTACTGACGTCTGATTTGCACGGAAATCCCTTGTTTTTGAAGTTTTGTGGCAGGTTAGTGATCAACCACAGCACTTCTAAAAACCAAATTTATCATCAGTTCGAGATATGAAACACGACTTCACCATTGACTCGATAGTCGTACAAATTACGAGAGTGACGAATGTTATGCTATCAGAAGCGGATGAACGTATTTTGATGTTTGAGGCCACAGTAAACATACATTGCCATTAAAAGTTTTCATGCTATGAACAGCTGCTTCATCATGAAATTAGTCATACATGAGTAATATTTTGCTTCAGTCCAAATGCATGGTATTCAGTCAAACGAATTACAAATTTATTGAAACCCGATGACGGACAACCTACCCAGAATTCATGTCAAAAGATATGAACGCTCGCGAAAACCTTGGACAGCGGCTGCTTTCAATGCGTACATTTTACAATAAACTGTGTTTTTTACGAAAGCTGGTTCTCAAATTCGAATCATTTTGAAAAGATTTAAAAACGACGACGAAGTTGGTTTTACCGATGGTGCCGGGGCTAACATTTATGAATCTTCAACCACCAAACCAGTCATTTTACTATAGGTAGAGAGACAGAAAGAAGATTATAGTTCACATTACTAAAGTCTGAGGTGCGAATTCTCAGCACAAGCAACGAATGTTTCATAGTGTTCACAATCATTTAAAATAAGGATGAGCATTTTTCGAGGCAAGGTCAGCTAATGTTAGCTTTGTAACTGACGTTTAAACACTTGGTTCGTTTAACTGTAATTTACATACTTTACCAAGAGATGCCATGAAGTCTTGTGCCAAACTAAATATTTTGTAGCTGTAAAACTTTATATGTTAAGGAAACCACATGTTGTTCTACAATCCAACCGAAACGCAGTAAACAAATCCTTAGTAGTAAAACACGTAACTCCGGATTTCTTGTGCTGAGCCTGGTACAACTACTGGTTCTCCGTTTCATGTGATACTAAATACTTCACTCCTTTGCAATTTATTCAAAATGAAGCACTGTTAAAGGGATGTTTTGCTATCTTCTTTGAGAACAGAATCGAGTTTGACTTCCGCGTGCAGGCACTGATGAAATATGTGAAGTTCGTTAGGCATAATTTGTGCGCTAAGTGTGTCCAGATTGTGAACAGGATAGTATTAAGTAACACGCGGGGGATGTACAAATTATCAAAGTCCACGAACAGAAGATATCGAAACAAGTTGAATAAGACTAAACTAGTGTAGTATCTTTAGGACACACTACCAGTTTTGATGTCAGGTAACTTTATACACGATTCACTAGACGTTTTCATCATGCTCTTAACTAGGGATTGCACTCTACAGTTACATTATGAAGCATGAGACGGCTGAAGATAAAGTTGTTTTGGACACTTACGTTTGTAGTGACTCACTTTTATCACGAGAACACGATTGGTTTATTAAAAACAATTATTATTATAGCCAATTGTACCAGTGACTGTTTTAATGTGCTTTTGTTTAATTGTGCTATAAAGCATCAATTATTCTCACACTCTGGTTGTGACCTCGCGCGAATTCGGTTAAGCTCTGTAACCAAAATTGTATCCTGGCACGATCTCGATATTCTTTCGATACCATGAGATCGCCAGCAAATATATCTCGACTTGGTCCATTAACTGCCTTCTGATATCTAGCTTAGGGTATTTTATGGATTTACTTGGCACGTGTTTCTTGGTAGCGGTGTTCATAGTCTACCGCGACTCGATGCCACGCTACACGCCCATCAGCAGTACTGGTATAAATTTTCGCGTTGCTACAAAGCATTCGTTGCTTGATTACCGTTTTACAATATTGGTAACTATTAACATTAATAACAATAGGGAACACTCCCGAATCTGCATGTTTTGGACCAATGGCGTGGAGAGAAACATAGATCCGATAGCGTTATCGAAAAATAACTCAACACAATAAACCTACGTTGACAGAACGACCAGAAAGAATGTTGTGACCCTAATATAATCTTCAAATCACAGGCCGTCGCTGATAAAGTAGAAAAATGGCATAGATAACGTTTGTATAAAAATTGAAGGTAGCATGTGCAGCGATTTACCAATTATAAATGTCCGTTTACAATTGATGCAAGTGAGCAATAAATATTGAATATAAACGTGATTACACATAGAACAACATAAAGAAAGAAAAGATATGATCTTCATTTTGTAGTTGCAAAAAATATTATTTATCCATGTCCCTGTAGGACAAAAATTACGATTAACATCATAATCGTTTATCATTCATCTAAAACGTAATTTGTGATAACGGTGTAAATTTTGAGAATTTAAAAACGTGAAAAACATACCTCAAGGTCAAAATCATGAAACAAATAACTTAATCGATGAACATACAAGACTAACGATACGAACTTTGTATAAGTAGTAAAAATTCTGCAAACTTAAACGCTGAAAACCAATACAAAACTATAAAATAACCAAAGCAGTAAGCGAAACGAAATAGCATCTATAAATAAAAATAACACATTTGTAATATCCCAATGAGTAGGAAAATTAAATTTTCTGATTTTCCGGACTCAGTGAAAGCCACTTCTTCAGGGAAAAAGCAACCAAATTAATTTGTTTATGATTTTTCTAATCATTAAGATGTTACCTTTATTTATAACAATTTCCTCAGTGATCAATCGATTTAAAATTATCAGGTCAAACCTTGACATTGATACCTACGAAATATCATTTATTATGACTTACAGAAATGCAAGAAATAATGAACATTACACCAAATAATAACGCGCTCAGTAGGTGTTATGTTAATATGATCGCGCATACGCTCTCTAGCAAGCAATATGTTAACAGAATTAGGCATTTTCAGGAATTTTGTTGATTTTTCGCAGAGTAGGTGCAACATATAAATCCATAATATTTTAATAAGTACTCCAATTCTAGCTTTACCTTTCAATATATATTTGATTTTTACACCTGGCAATTCGTAATACGCAGATCACCAGCGTAGGTGATCTATGTCGAATGGTTGGGGGCCTAACGCGGATTACAACCTTCGTTGTATCAAGGAACTATGGATGCTTAGAAGACCGTACAACACAAAGAATGCTATTAAGGATATATAACAGTAAGAATGAGTACAGAGAATATAGTGGGACCAGTACCGCATGGGCCAGTCCATGGCACACGACCAACGTATACGCGTTCGTTACCTTTGGCTTTGACAGAGGTCGAGGATCTGTTCGATATTCAGTGACCCAACTGTCGGCTGATTTGGTTAGTGCTCAGTGACATATCATTGGCCCTACAACACTACATTGCTGTGTTAAAATCTAGATAAGTTCAGGTAATTAAAATAAATTTCAACACCCTTCAAAGGAATAGAAAGCATAAATCCGCCTTACGAGTTATTTAAACCGCATGTAATTAATGCCTAGGTTTGTGAACGAAGTGTCAAGCCAGTATTGTCAATAGCCTATAGGCGTATTGACTAGCCCGTTCAACAAATAACGACCTGCCCCTGTTTCTAATATTCATAAAAAATATACATACCTATACTTAAAAAATCAACGAAATATTATGCTTCGACTTCGATACCGTTGTATTCGAATATTATACTATTGGCGAATTACGAGAACTATTAACAGACTGTTACTATATATATTCTATATTGTATTGTATAACTACTAAGTAACTGGATTATATACACCTATATTCCCCTTATGATAAGCTTTCACTCGACTTGTCGACCACTAATATACTGAACCACATCCATGTTTGGCTTGACTTTGTATAATTAATATTTCTACATTTGTGATGTGATAAGATCTGGTCTGTTTGTATATAAACCGAATATACGACTCCTATGGAGGAAGGCTGATATTTGTGCTCCGAAATGAAAGAGCTGAGCGAGATGTTACTTATACAGACGATCAATAAAGACCCGTAGTTGACTCAAGGCTATTCGTGCTGGTTAACGCAACAATGGTCCCGAAAAAAAACAAGTCGGCATTCTGATTGGCGATCGTGATTTAGTAATGCTTGGTGGCATGTAAATAGACGCTTTAATAAACAAGTCTGTTAAGTCTATGGGTTACTTCCTAATAAATAGCGTGTGGTAACGACAGATGCTGGAAACGTTGTCCAGATAACTACTACGTATGAATTGAAAACAGGTCTAATGAAGTGCTCTTACCTTAGCTATCGATGTCCACTTTATTTATTAAGGTCCAAATAAGGCTTTTGAGAATCCGCACATGCAGGTAGTGAAAGCATTTTTCATGAATCCTTAAGTACTCAAACCTAGTCTGTCATTTTCCGCCTCAAGTTCCTAATACACGATCGTTTTTAAGAATAACTCATAACTCAGTAGTATGTTCAAGAAAATTCAGTCAGATCGTTTTTCGCGATGCACATAGAATAACTTAACGGTGTTTCTCATCAGAACTTATTCGCGTTCATACGGCTAAAACTAAGGAAGTGAAATAATCCAAAGCTTATTGATAAATTGGTATTTAAACCGTTGCTTTCGCAGTATATAATGGAAAGAATGAAAGAAGCTAATGACAGATAACAGCGCTTCCTTTGAATCACAATATAAAGATGTTTTAAGATAAAACAGATGAATTGTTTTTCTATAGTTTAGAGCCATCGACCGACTTACAACAGGGCTTAAAAATTTTATGTACTCAAATAAGTTATTAGTAACTAGAAAAATCATTAAAATGATTCAATTCCGGAATGCTCATTGGGGTGGGATTGTTTATTACTATCATATGTGAATCATCGATCAGTAAAACTAAACTGTCCTGATCCATCTTATGTTAGAGACGGGTGACTGACACACACATTATCATAGTTACACAATAAAGTAATTGTACAAGTTAATATCGGATATTATTAACGATCGTCAGACACAAAACCGGATGTTTCCCTATTATTTTACAAACAGGTTAATAGACAAAAACTTAAGAGTTCTATCACAGGCTTTTCATCAAACTCTCATTAGTGTTACGTATAATGGACACATCAGTAGATCGTCAAACATATTCAACATTGATTCGCAAAAGCCTATCCAAAATAACCGTTCATAAAGTAAGTAACATTTGAATATCAGATAAAGTAATCTACACTGCAAACTACTGAATGTCGAATTACTTATTGTAACATTTCTAAAGAATACGTGGATACAAGCAAAAAAGATCTAGTCCTTACCACAGCCATTATAAAATTGATGTGAATGTGCGTAGAATCATATCATATTCAATATAAAAAACAGTGCAAGTATCATATAGACGATACATACAGACTATAAATAACTATCTGTATTCTACACAAGGTCAAACAGAACGCTGTATGTTATGAATGAGGAAAGTAAATGGTTAAATAGAATCGCAAGAGGGGAAATCACGAAAAAGATACAAAAATAATACATGGTAAAGACAAATCAATTAGAATTATAATGAATGAGTTATTAATGCTTGTCTGATTAAGAGAAACTAGTTAAAACACGACTAATTACGTAATATTTCGATAGATTCAACAGGATTCACTAACAAAGATACAGGACGCCATAATGACACAGAAATCAGTAGGAGGAAAAATAACAGCGTCACCACAGAGTGATACTTGAAGACAACCCTAGGTTAATTAGCATTTCGATAACATTAATATATCAGTGTATTTATGAGGCACATAATAGAATTACCGTGAGGGTGAATCAAACTAATATATGTAATCAAAATAAAAAAATTATCTTTTTAACGCTAAATCTACAAAGAAGATTAACAAGGAAAGACATACGTTAAATTAACGGTGAAACATGAAAATATACTAGATTAATACAAAGCAACTCTTTTACACAATAGTTATTGGAATGTAATTGAAAGTTATGAGAATAAACAGAGTAAGAGGATGAGAAATTCATACTTCAGCATATTTATTTAGAGTACATTAGATGTAATATTCTACCATACTTTCTACGAAAATCAAATGGATACAACGTATACATGCCGAACAGGAAGACATTTTCCAATAAATGTAACAGCAGTCAGTGCATGAGGTGAAACGAAGAATGAGAACAAGTTTAGTATCTAAAATATAGGAAAAATATGCCGAAATAAAATTTAGTTTGTTCTAAAATCTGATACAATGAAATGAATACTTCAAGTAAAAAATCTACAACGGAAATGTAGACGTATAAAACGTTACTGAAGGTAAAACATACATTTTTAAATTGAGACTAAGCAAAAGGCATGAATGAAATATATTATATTACGAACAGTACAGATATACACAATGGGTCATATATAAATGAATACGGAATAAAAGTTTGTTTCTTATTATCACCAGGGTGTTTTGCAAGTTCATACATATATAACCATGTTATCTAGAAGGAATGCTTAGGCACATATCTATTGAACTTCTTCGATGACGAGTGATAGTTATTATGTTTATATGTACCCATAGTTTTGTTAGGGCGTGTGATGCAGGTAAGACAACATCTCCTTATCCTTAAACCTTGTACTTGAAAGGGGAATACGACTATCTGACAATAATTGCAGGAAACGACCACTGTTAATTGTTCGCTCAACTGAGACACCAAATGACCCAACTTATTATTTCCCAACTTGATTTAGAATATCTGCTTTAGTGTTAACACTGCCTGGAACGACTAACACGCTTGTCCCTTGCAAGCTTAAGACCAGAAAACTTCCTATAAAACTCATCATCTACTTCATACGAACTGCAGTATATAGAATCATATGCAAAAAAACGAAAAAGTAACTGAATAAGTTCTCACCTTTCTGAGCTCTTACTACACCTCTTAAACGGATAGGTCATAAAATACTGTCGATAAGAATTTAGTTAAGGGAAATGCAATCTAAATAGAGAAGTAAACAATGACAGTTTGATGGTCAACAATAATCAATCAAGATCAAGGTCAACAGGACAAGGTGTGAGTCATATGTGGAGGAATTCAAACACTTCACTTCTACTTGAAGTTTGTGCAAGAAGAACGATGAAAACTCCGTGATCAAGCCATCCAGCTCAAATAATAGATGTCGACCTCAACCCAGCAAAGTCACTTCAGTTAATGTTATGTAAACTCAAAGACAAAATCGTTAAAAATACTACATAATACAGAGAGCTCATTCTCTTCACCGTCGTCTACAAAAATCCCACTTTGCCGTCAAATCCCAAGGCATATGTTAGCCTATATTAATACATATAGACCACTACGGACACATGTTAAACTGCAAAAACGGCCAAGTTTTAGTTAGAAAAAACACAAAGAAAATGAGAGGATTTCTGTAAGCTTGAGACTGAAATCAGTAAACATTTAACATACATTATGAAATAAACGCAATTCACCAACCAATTAGAAAAGTCAAAAGCAACTAAATAATCAAGAACCAGGACAAGATAAACAAGATGAATGTGTAGATAATAGTGAGATAGGTCCAAACAATAATCAATCAAATTTTAGGAAGACAGAACAAGTTGTTAGTAGTTACTTGTTGATAAATTCTAAAACTAAACTTTCTTCTAAAGTTTGTACTGATGTTATCTACAAAAAACATTGAGAGCTTAATGTTTGAACCACCCAGCTCAGGTAACGCAATTTCAACAAGTATACCAGGAATCTTAGTGAAACTAACCCTTTACAAAGACTTTTGACAACATTCAGTTATTGTTGTAGTTGAAGATAATAAATCAGAACTATATATTCAACATGAGGAAAACTGAACAGAATATTCTAAAACTTCAAAGTATCATTAATAAACGTTAGTTTGTCGATAAGTAAAAAGAGGTGAGAAATACAATTTTATAGTGTATGACAGTTTTGTATAATATTATTCTATTTATTCCTCAATGTGAATAAGTATAGTTTTGTTCGACTTAATGTGCTAATAATGAAAAAAACCTTATAATATTTTCTTACTTGTAGTTACTCGGTTTAAATGGTCCTGTTTTATTTACACCTAAATATCGAGCTTGTTCATCAGTGAGTTCAGTTATTCGACCATTGAATAATGGGAGATGCAATGTTGCGACATATTCATCTGTAGTATTAACAAAAAAATGGTTAAATTAATACAATCTACATTAACAACTATGAACTTTCGGAACGTGATATTTTAGAATAACGACAATATTTACAGAAAAAACACAAAAAAACAATGAAGAATAATACACTCTTATAACAGTCTACACTTCTATATGAACTAAGCACTGATAATATCGACTAGAACGACAATAAGATCACTGTAAACTAAATCATCTAGCTCAGAAAATACAACAATACCAATTGCAGTAAAACAACAACCTCGATACTGTATACAATACCGAAATTTTGAGTTAATACTAACCAATCGATGAAATATTGTTAAGTTTCAATTGGAAATGAAAGTCTTGGTGCAGACTTCCACAAAGTTATTTATGTCATTTGGTCAAAAAAGCACACGTTTATGATAATACGATAAAATATAAAATATCAAAAGTCATTTTTCACGTTCGATTACATCAACCGATTCATTTCAGAAAATCACGAATCTTGTGATAAATTAACTTTGTTCATGTTATTTATTTCCTTTCAATGAATAAAAACAACTGGTTATAGTTGTTTATATGTTTTAAACAAACTAGAGCTTAGATGGGTGGACCCATCATGATAAGATTTTGTCTACTATTGTTAGTGAAGCATGTTAAAAGCGAATTGAATATCATACACAGAAAACATATATTCTAGCCTTTCAGATTATATATTGTTAATCCCACCAAATGATCTCAGTCATTGGTTTAATAATTACATTCAATTTGATCAAAATATTTCATATGTTGAGATCATAGAATGAGCCATGATGATGTTAAGTATAAGGTAAATATAAGGTGAACATGACAAATCGGTTGATGAGGTGTGGTGAATCACCGTAAACTGAGTCGATTAAGACATGTAATAAAGCTTGCCAAACACAGTGAAGAATTCAGAAAGCAACACAATTTATCCAATCAAAAAAATAATAAAATTAACATAAAATATCTTTGTACACTAGTGATGGAGAAATATTCAGGATTTATATAACAAAAACTTAATAACTTTGTGAAGTGAAATAAAAATGGAACAAGGAAGTAGGACAAACTAAAATTAATACGAAATTATATATTGTGACTTTCTAATTTATATCCAAATTTTCTCTTTTCAATAAATAACACAGTGGAATAATGAATAAATCTTAACCTATAAAACAATAAAAAAACAACTCTTGCTTATCCGAGAAAACAAAACAAAGAGATGATCTTCTAGAGTGAATGAAAAACAAACACGGAAAGATTAGCATAGAAGAAAGTTTGGCCACACCTAGTGATTTTTTGTCCTAAAAAAATGAGCTTGAAAAGAGAAATTGTAATAAGAATTTAATTTAAACTTGACTATAAGAAACTCCGCCTGGAGTCTCTCCGGGGGCTACTGCCGGTCCCAAGCCCGAATAAAGGAGGAGGTTAGGCATGGGGTTAGCGTCCCCATCCCGTAGAAAACCAACTCGCTAAAAAAACGCTAACCAGAAAAAATTATTCAAACCTTTTAAACTCTGTTCTGGGAGTCAGAAGGTCTTCATTTATGACGCCTCATGAAGAAAGCCGAGTTCCTTCGGGTTTCACGAAAACGATGCCCCTTCTGGCAACCAGAGTAACCATTTATATAGGTACATTGAATGCTCGTACAATGTGGGACACCGGGAGAGCCTTCCAAATTGCTGCAGAAATGAGGAGATACAACCTGGATGTGCTTGGGATCAGTGAAGCACATTGGACGCAAGTTGGACAACAACGACTAACTTCAAGGGGGCTTCTGTTATACTCCGGCCATAAAGAAGAAAATGCCCCATATGCACAAGGAGTTGCATTAATGCTATCCAAACATGCACAAAATGCACTTATGAGATGGGAATCTCATGGACCAAGGATCATCAAAGCCTCCTTCAAAACAAAGAAAGAGGGCATTTCAGTGAACGTCATCCAATGCTATGCACCTACCACTGACTACAATGAAGATGCTAAAGATCAATCCTACAATAAGCTGCAGTCAATCGTCGAGAATTGCCCAACAAAGGACCTGACCATCCTGATGGAATATTTAAACGGCAAGTTTGGGATAGACAACACCGGATATGAAAACATCATGGGACGACATGGACTGAAAGAAAGGAACGAAAATAGTGAGAGATTTGCAAACCTATGTGCCCTCAATTAACTGGTCATAGGTGGCACCATATTCTCACATAAACTCATACACAAAACCACATGAACTTCACCGGATCACACTACGCAAAACCAAATCAACCATATCTGCATCAACAATAAGTACAGGAGGACGATGGAGAAAGTGAAAACTAAGAGAGGAGCTGATATAACATCAGATCATCACTTGCTGGTCGCCAAGACGAAATTGGAACTCAAGAAGCACTGGACAACGGGGCGGACAATATCACAAAAGTTCAATACGGCCTTTCTTCAGGATACTAACAAACTCAACAAATTCAAGATAGACCTCGGCAACAAGTTCCAAGCCTTTCATGATCTACTCAATGGAGAAGGAACTACTGTGGAGAGCAACTGGAAGGGGATCAAAGAAGCAATCACTTCAACATGTCATGAGGACCTGGGTCACAAGAAGCACCATCACAAGGAATGGATCACTGTTGATACACTGGACAAGATTCAAGAAAGGAAGAACAAGAAGGCAGCAATGAATACCAGCCGAACAAGAGCAGAAAAAACCAAGGCACAAGCTGATACACAGAAGTAAACAAGCAAGTGAAGAGGAGCATCAGAACTGACAAACGCAAGTATGTGAAAGATTTAGCAATGACGGCGGAAAAGGCAGCAAGAGAAGGAAACATGAGACAACTGTACGACACAACAAAGCAACTGTCAGGAAATCGCCGCAAACCAGAACGACCAGTGAAAAGCAAGGAAGGCAAGGTAATCACCAACATTGAGAAGCAACGAAACAGGTGGGTAGAATACTTCAAAGAACTCTTAAATCGACCAGCCCCACTGAACCCACCCAATATCGAAGCAGCACCCACGGACCTCCCAATCAATGTTGGCCCACCAACAGTTGAAGAAATCAGCATGGCCATCAGACAAATCAAGAGTGGCAAAGCAGCAGGGCCAGACAACATTCCAGCAGAAGCACTGAAAGCAGACGTAGCGGTAACTGCAAGGATACTCCACATTCTCTTCAATAAGATTTGGGATGAGGAACAAGTACCAAAAGACTGGAAAGAAGGACACCTCATCAAGATACTAAAGAAAGGTGATCTCAGCAAGTGTGATAACTACAGGGGTATCACTCTTCTCTCAATACCAGGAAAAGTCTTCAACAGGGTATTGTTAAACAGGATGAAGGAGTCCGTAGACGCCCAAATTTGAAACCAACAGGCAGGATTCCGTAAAGATAGATCGTGTACAGACCAAATCGCAACTCTACGGATCATTGTGGAACAATCAATTGAATGGAATTCATCACTCTACATCAACTTCATTAACTAGGAAAAAGCATTTGATAGCGTGGACAGAACAACAATATAGAAACTTCTTCGACACTACGGCGTGCCTCAGAAGATAGTCAATATCATACAGAGTTCATATGATGGATTACACTGCAAAATCGTGCATGGAGGACAGTTGATAAATTCAACCCGCAAACGCAACAACAAATTCAGGAGAAGACGACCAGTGTAGTAGCAGCCTCAGCAGCAGTAGGTCTCAATATACAGAAAGGGAAAAGAAAGATTCTCCGATACAACACAGCATGCACCAATCCAATCACAATTGACGGAGACCATTTGAAGATGTAAAAACCTTTACGTATTTGGGCAGCATCATTGATGAACAGGGTGGATCTGATGCAGATGTGAAGGCGCGGATCGGCAAAGCAAGAGCAGCATAGTTACGACTGGAGAACATTTTGAACTAAAAACAGTTGTCCACAAGTCAACACCATAGTCAGGATTTTCAATACAAATGTCAAGACGGTTCTACTGTATGGGGCAGAAACCTGGAGAACTACGAAAGCCATCATCCAGAAAATACAAGTGTTTATTAACAGTTGTCTACGCAAAATACTTCAGATCCGTTGGCCGGACACTATTGGCAACAACCTACTGTGGGAGAGAACAAATCAGATCCCAGTAGAGGAAGAAATCAGGAAGAAGAGCTGGAAGTGGATAGGACACACATTGAGGAAAGCACCCAACTGCGTCACAAGACAAGCCCTCACATAGAATCTTGAAGGTCAAATGGAAAGAGGAAGACCACAGAACACATCACGCCGGGAAATGGAAATAGATATGAGAAGAATGAACAAGATTTGGATGGAACTAGAAAAGAAGGCGGAGGACAGAGTGGGTTGGAGAATGCTGGTCGGCGACCTATGACTACGTTTAATTTTTCTTTAGGCTGTTTTTTCGATACGTTTAAATCACATTAACTGGTCCTTTATATCGGCCTCAGATACAGTGGCTAGACTCTAAAAAGACTACGAAGAAAATATTGTTCATCCCAAATCAAACATTTCAATCCGAAAAAGACCTACTTTTCAAGAGAGAGAACTGATAGACCGGACAATTTCGAATAGATTACATGTTATAAGGCTGAGCAGATCATATGTTATTCGAAAGCCAGTGGGAGAAAAATACAAATGTAAATGGGTCTATTGTGTGTGAGATGATTATTATTTTGACCAGTGTCATTATTCATATATCCCTGTCTGAGTCAATACTTATATATATACTCATGGGTACTGAATAAATTTTCAAGTTTCAGTAATAATGTTTCCACCATAAACTTAATCTTCTCTGCATAGATAATTTGGTGAGTACTAAGAAGTATGTATTAATTTCTGAATCAAACTGCTAAAAAACATCACATCCTGGGGGACAAAGATGGGACTAGGAGTAAATTTTAGACATAATACAGACATTCACTTGATTGGTCAAGTATTCATGCAAACAATGGATTCAACCTGTCAACCTTTCACGCCTTCACATACTCAACATAAAATGATGCACTATAATGTACACGAAAAGTTACCGTTCAATAGTAAAAGATTTATAAACTGATAATTAAACATATTTTTTACTATAAGCAAAAAAAAAACAACAAACAAACGGATGAACATAGTAAACAGTTACAATAATTCACATAAACTATCACTCTTACCCATTTTTTTCGGTAATAAATACACATCATTTTTATAACGACCAGCAGGAGCATTGTACAATTCAATCAAAGCTAATATCTGAATAAAAATTATACAAATTAATTAGAGTAAATAAATTTAAAACATTTTTTCCCAAAAAGAAGAAAACACATATGTTTTGTTTAAGTTTATAAATTTTAGGATCAAACATATAATTTTATTGTAGAGCACTATTTTTTTTATAAAAAAAACAACAGTGGAATTATTCAAATGAAATGAAATTTGCATAACAGAACAAAGACCTTATCATAAATACATAATAATAATAATAATAAAAGATATGCATTTTATTCCCTTATCCTTGAGTAAATAAACAAAATAGTATAGTACCAGTGGTTGATTTGCATTCGGCACAACTACATCATATATACAGCAGAGAAAATCACAAATTAAACTTGCATAATATTGTTTCTATTATAGAATATTTACATGACAGTATTGTTGACATATTAATTTACATTGTAAAATTTCGTTAGAAATCATGTAAAATTTATTACATCAGTTCATATGTATTTAAAACTATGAATAATTTTATTTGGGTCATAAGTTTGATGTTTGTTTGTTTTTCTTGATGTGAGCACTTGTGAATATAAGATTTATCATACTTACACACACACACACACAAGAAATGAATTCAAATTTTTGAATAAGTATTAAACGCTGCCAAAAAACTAGTTTTTTTTAATTAATTGATACTATAATACAATAAATGTTCTATTTATTAAAGTATATTCATAGAACAGATAGATCGTGACTAGCAGTGGAATCCAGGATGCCAACCAACTGATCGAAAATTATTTTAAGATTGTCAACAACTAGATAACTTAAATCATTTCTAACTATGATATAAATGGTAAATATATTGTTAAGAATGATATTCACGAATCCAAAATGAATTACTTCTTGTACATGGTTATTATTATTACCATTACTATTCGCCAAAATTTTTCGCCAGTTGAACAAAAAGATCTTTGTGGAATAAGCATCCTGCATCATTTACAGGTTATATAATTGAATGGAATATGTCTGATTGGTCATTTCTATATTAGACTACACAAATCATTGTCAACTTACGTTCTGACAAAAAAAGTTCGTTATACGATGGGAAGTTCTTTTCCAGCACAGAATGTCAATCAACAAAATTAAGATTACAAAGACCAGAACAAAGTGCTCATACTAATTTACTATAGATAATTAAAAGGAGGCTCTTGAAGATATGAACATGTGAAGTACATATCATTCAGTAACAAACAATACATTATTATTTTGATGGAGTTTTGTTCTCTGAGCTGGATGATTTGGTCGTGGAGCTTTTATCGTTCTTCTGAACGACATCATCAGCACAAAATTTATTATTATTGTTTGCCTACTAAACTAGATTATTCAGTCTCACTATGTGAAGTATGAAAACTCATGTTTCCAGGTAACTTCGACTATAGTGAGAAAAGCGAATCAAATAAAGTTAAAATATCACAACGAATTAAATAAACGATGAATATTTATTAAGTATCATCTTGTCTAGATTCATCTAATGACTAAATGTTCATTTTCAAGCTCTTATGGAGACAAGAAGAATATATAGTTTAAAATCGGATTATTACGATAAGAATTCTTGTATGTATTAAATGTTGTTTACATTTTAAAAAATGTGAAATTATTTATATAGTACAATTACCAAGTACCAGGTACCACCTTATCACTTAAACTAACAATACTGAGTCATTTTGGTAACTTCAATCAAATGATACTGAGTATATAGTAATAACGTTAAAAAAAATTATCCAAAATAATGAACTCAGTTTATCGCAAACTAACTTGAGTACTGGCGCTAACAGAGACAACAATCGATGGAACAGTTGAACAGCTTAAATTCGCCAAACGACCCTGGAAGAACAAGAAAATTTTCATAAAGCACAAATAAATTCTAATAGAATCAAAGTTGTAAATAAGTTTAAAAAAGTAATAATTGAAACCCACTTTCTCCTAAACAAAAGCCGGATACATAGTTCAGTTTGTAAACCACATTAGCACAATGAAACGAAATTAAAAAGATGAATTGCAAAAGAGGTGGAAATAATGTAATAGCAATCATAGTAGGAAAGACTAGTCATTGCGAATATGCTTTGAGAAGACAAGGCGTGAAGGTATGAATGAAGGAATACTAGAGTCTACAAAAGACAGGAATATAAAGCGAGTGAATGTGTGTCATTTTAACCGACACTATATCACCTGACTGCAGATATTTCGCGCACACTAACCAGGTAGTTTGCACTTGTCAAAAATAGACCAAACCAACAGTCAACAACTTCATGGACTGATACTGATACTACGTTTTGGTTTGACCGCCCTATTGAAGATATCAAACAATAAAGATAAAAATAAACCCATATTCAATTAATAAATAATGATTATAAACGAAAACTGAAGTGACATTTCATATAAAAGACATGCTCTAACCTCAGCTATAAGAACAATACGTTTACCATCCATCCAAATAACATGATCCACTTGTGATCGAACACGCTCCCATGTTAAATCAGGTGTTTGAAGAGATCGCTAAACGATTAAGAGATTGAAACAAATATCAGGTATATTATAAAGAAAATATTAATGTATTATTGTCTGAAAATATGATGTTTAAGTACCACATGATCTTTGCGTTTTGAAACATCTGAAATGAGACGTAAAGATCGGGATAGAAATTAGTATGTTACTAATCATATATCATTTAGTACGTGTCGCTGAAATGATTACACCATAGCACAAGTATACATATGAAAAATCGCGTCTGATTACTGGGATAAATTAAGACATATCCAACTAAATTGCATTACATATATGTACTAACTAATCTGATGAACACATGAATAAGGTTAGTACAAGGGGGCATTTTTCGTAAACAAACCGTCGAAGGTCTTTAAATGACATAAAAACTCAGTTATAAAAACACATTTAATAACTAATCACAACTGAAAAGTGACAGAGAAAATTTAATAATATACCTAAACAACAATTTTTACAAAATGGAATTTACTTAGATAGATTTCTAAGAAAATCCAAGTGATTTTATACGTATATGAATGATTTTCTCGAACTTTTAGTATAATTCCCCTCTGAGGTCAAAAGATCACGTAATTAGAATCAGCCAATCAACCCTTGGCTTTAGTATATCGTTTATTATAACTATCTTTACTTACATGCATTTCATTGGTGTCGACCTTTAAGTCTAAGTGTAAACCTGTGCATTAGTGTTGAGCCATAATAAGATGCTAACTGACAAGAAACACTTCTCTGCTCAAGTTGTACACTTAACAACAAAATTAAATCATATAATCTGTTAAGAGTTTTCGATAAGCTGAAAAATTAAATAAGTTTATGAGCTTGTAATAATAAATGACATAGCTACTACCGCAAAACAAACTAAGAATTCCGAAGTACCTACGCTGCATTTGTTTGAAATGTTAGTTATAGGTTGGATAAGCTGATAGAAGCATCATAGACTTTCTTGACTAAGATATAAGGACAAAACCCTATAGGTTACTAGTTATAATTCAAATATTTACATAGTTATCAATGAATGTCAACACCAAACTATTGCTCACTTCAATAGAATACAACTATTAAGTTGAATTTCTCTATTCACGAGTATGCAGTAAATACAAATGTTTCATATTACTGACTAAATAGACTGAGAAATTTATAACGAAATGTGTTAGATTAGAGCTTAATATTGTTACTTTATTCAATGAATAATTGACATTTTCTTATTTTGACTATATCAAAAGGCGAAATAGGTTACAAATGATCAGATAACTTTTGATAAAATGTTTACCAAAATCATGAACTGAATATCTATCTATATAAATGTATAGTAATGAAATTGTTTGCGGCTAAAAACATTTGTACAAAATTAAAGTGTAAGTAAACACATACAACATCGATTTCTGTGTTAGAATGACCCATATTGCATACGACACAACCATTTTTCATTTGATCCATATGGGCCCGAGTAATGACACCTTTATTCCCGGTGCAAGTAACCACAATATCCACTGAACGTATAACTTCGTCGATTTTTACAACACGATAACCATCCATGCTTCGAAGTAAACAGAAAGACAAAAATAAATAGAAATTCTGAGGAACCTCAAGCTACTATTTATAACACTCCGGCATTCCAGGAAAACCTGAATCATTTTAACACTAAAAAGCATTCGCGGAATGCTATTCAAAGACCTTGCCTGATTCTGAAGTTACTCAACAGTATATATATATATATTCAATGGCTGTTTTACTCAAGTCGGTTCGTGTTCTCCATAACAAAGTTACTATCTGTTAAAATAGATTCACCTGGATCTTTCAATTTGCACGATAAGTAAGTGCTCAAGGTCAAAAGCATTGAATTTTGAAGTAGTATTTTGAAATTATTGTGCTCGATAAGAGATCAGAATGTTATTTTCTCAATCATGTGGTGTAAAACAAGATTACCATTTCAAACCAAGACCTAACGGCTATCCAATGTTAGCTGATTATCGAGGAATCTATTTGATATAATTAGTTCAGGACAAAAATTACTTTAAAATAAAACTGAGGGAAAAATTCACCAAAAAGGCACAACTAACTTCCTAAGGAAATGTATCGAATCTTGTGAGAGAAAATAAAAACTTTTGCTTACCAAGCTTGAAGTGCACAGATCGGATCTATTTCCGAAATACAAACGAAAGCTCCTAATCCTCTTAACGCTTGACAAACACCTTTCCCAACTTCACCATAACCGCATACCAATACAGTCTTACCACTGATCATCATATCTGTAGTTCGTTTAAGACTGAAAGGAAGAAGAATTATGAAGATTTGTATTGAAAATTATGCAGTACCAATCATCACTACTATACGTTTAACCATTACTTATGTAAACACATAAACATTGATACGAGGAGGCATCAAAAATATATATAAATACAATTCGATTTGTGTGAGGGCTGGAACCTCCGAGATGTCTAGCCGAACTTAGTTTTATTTTATTAGTTATTTATTTGAACACGTAAATATTGGTACAAGGGGCATCAGATACATATGTGCCACACAATAACAATGAGAATGTAGAGATAAAGAATGTAAAGTTCGTGTAAGAAAAAGGGGAACAATAACGAACAGAAACTAGTGTGTGATAGTAAAATAATAATAATAATGGGACGGACAGTTCAGTTAGTAAAGATACAACCAGAAAGAATCATTCCAGTTTAAGAAGTTACGTTCATTTTTTATGAAGAAAGTAAAAGAAAATCAACGCAGGTTCACCACTGGCTTCTGTTCTGAGCCATATCTGATAACGTCTCTAACCACTGTGTCGCACCATCTCTTGGACCCCAACCAGGAAGTCATGAACGACCAACAGAAGCCAGCCTTTTGCAGCTTTCTTTCATACCACGACACCATGTCAGACACTGACCACCTGTCCGCTTTTTCTAACTAGTCCCAGAGTTCGCAAATAATGCACGACGATGAATTCTCTAGGGCGACATTCGTAGTACATGTTCAAGCCACCGAAGTCGATGTTTTAAGATGGTGATACCAATTGGATTATCGTCTCTGTGCCCAAACACACGATGCCGAACCTCTGTATCACTAACATGGTGTTGCCACTGGATGTCAGCAATCCTTCAGAGACAGCGATTATCAAACACAGAGTCGTCTGACATCCTTAACTCAGAGAGTCCAGGTTTCATAAGAATACAGCGAAACTGCTATCACAGACGCGTTTTAGATCCGACCTTAAACAGACGAACTAGCATCACGAAGGCGCCAAAGATGGCCCTGGTTGGCATAAGTCGCTCTGGCTTTCACTATACGTGCATTGATCTCACCACTAACACTCCCACCAGCACTTATGCAGCTACCTAGATACACGAACTTCTCGACTACTTCTATCTGCTCACCATCCAGTGTGAGTACAGGATTAGAATCCTGCCAGTCTTGTAGAAGTACTTTGCACTTCGAAGGTGCAAAGCACATATCGTACCTACGGACATTGATTGCCAACTGATTAAGTGCGGATTGCATGGCTTGGGCATTGTCGCACAGTCAGATAATATCATCCGCATACTCAAGGTCGAGAAGTCTTTCTCCAGGCAACAGATCCACACCGCCATTAATTACATCTATCAGAGCTGTTTCCAGAACGTCATCGATGGCAAAGTTGAAGAGAAATGGTGAGATTGGGCAACCCTGCCTAACCCCACTGCTTGAATGGAACAATGGAGAAAGGTGGTTGTATGCCATCACTCTACCTGAGGTGTTTGTATATAGGACCTTTAAGATGTTAATGAACTTCTCAGGTACACCCTTCTTCAATAGACAATCCCAGAGAGCAGTCGTGTTCAACGAATCGAAGGCAGCCCTGATGTCAAGAAAAACTACGATTGTTGGTAGGTGATAAGTATGGCGGTGTTCTAACATTTGGCGGAGGGTGAAGATATGATCAGTACATCATCGACCAGAACGAAAACCAGCCTGCTCCTCGTGAGTCAATCTTTCTCGGGTTTTGAACAATCTACGAAGTAGATGACGATAATTACCGAACTTGGTTACTATGAAGCTAAAACATATAGTAAACTACCAGATGAAGAGTATTTGTTTACAAAACATTTGGAGTGAAATACATTTCAGTGAGTAACGATGCCATAATAGACATCGGTCAATGGAGTCGTATAACTATAAGGTCAAGAAATAGAGGATGAGGAAGGTCGATAGTTAGATTGGCAAAACCTCAAGTAGACTATTTTCGGTTTTTCGAAAATTTCAAAACTTCTAAAATTACGTTATTACAGTGTTATACTATAGTGAGACTGAAAGAACACCCTTTAAGACCAAAGTAGCTAACGTAACTAAGCCAGGCTCATTTCCTAATTCGGGTCACTTGAATAATTTCTAATTTTCGAATTAGTTGTGGCGTTGATGTAAATACATCAAATTGTTGATTGTTTCATCAATCAGTAACAACAAGGTAGCTACATATCAGCTGAAAGACAACGCCAACACCAGTACAACATAAAATGTCTTCCATTTTTTAATACTCGGCAAGTTTGGTTTTTCCGAAAAGACCACATTCATTAACTTCAAGTTCAAATTTTCAGCTGCATAACAACTGCTGACGGAGATATGAATGAAGTTGCAAAAATTATACACGGAAAATAGTAATTTGTTTAATGATATGAAATGCCTACTGTTAATTACATTTTAGGTAACAGATATTAATATTCCAAACTGAGGCTAACGGATTTAATCGAGTACTAACGCCGAACTCGGAATTTCTCAGTTGATCAGGTCAATGAATTAAGCTTCTATTCTACTACTTAAAGCTGTACACACACATCCAAATTTTTTCTTAAATCAGTGGTTTGTAAGGCCTATTGTATCAATTAATAGAGATTTAAAACACTGTAAGCTGCAAAACTTGTCAAATCCAGATGTGGTTTTAAAAGCATACATAAGAGGCAATATGCAAGTCTTAACCGTAAAAAGTGAAGATGAAGTAAAATGGTTGAAGACGATAGAGATGTATCATTGGATGATACCATACACCTAACCTTAGATATAGTAGAAGTGTTAATAGAATTTGGAATGTCATGGAATAACTTGAAAATTATATGTTCAAAGCTACTGAAACATTAATGTTAACAATATTTCAGATTTCTGGGAAATTAGTCGGGTATATAATCCCAAAATGCCTTGTATATCAAGATATATATATATATATATATATATATATATATATATATATATATTTGTTATATGGTTTCATATGACGGTATCAAAACTTACGAATCAACAATTGATTCTTTGCACAAATAGAAATTATCGAACTTTGATTTTGTTATACTGTCGCTAATATTCATAGCCGGCACTCCCAATGTGCCAGATTTCACGTACTGATAAAGACGATGAACACCTGTCACACTTTCTTCAACTATTCCACATATACCAGACAGTAGTTCCTTGTAATTTTTATGCAGCTGATGAGTTAAGTCCCCACCATCATCCAAAACCTGAGAGGAAAAATGGAAAAAAATATGAAAAACCAGAATAAAGCATTAATGTGTTGGAAATGGAAAATCCAATATATCTCAGAAACACAAGTTGGTTAGAAGTAATCAAAATTGTATTTAAATCACGAACCAATCCAAGTAAGAAAACTAACAGAAACCGGACGGCCGTCTGATTTACGTACGGGATTCCTCAGCACTGCGTTTCCACAACAATCTAACATGATCAAACAAACTGGACCATTAATGTAAAACACATAATCACACGGAAGTAAGATGAGAGGGCTAGTCTTTACAAATGAGCTTGTTTCGATGAAGAGCAGTCAAATTGATGAACAACAATGTATGAACAGTATTTGCATGAAATTTAGAAAAACTTTGAGGGGATTCACTGAAAAAGAAATTGAAATAGAATACCCAATAGTAAGAAACGTTAAATACAACCCCTAGTTACGATTTAGAGTCATGGTGGTAAGTTGAAGCGAGGAACAAACAGTATAAAATCTTATTAATGTTTTTGGGATCACTGTAGAACATATATTTGAGGGCTTAGAATCTATAACCCTCATTTAACCTTATACATAAAGCAAATTATTTATCAAACAGAGAAACTTATGATTATTTTGAAAATGTTAGTGATATGAAAGGAACTAAGGTTGAAATACTATATGATATTATGATCAAAATGACAAGAAAATGTTAACTGGGAAATTGTTAATTTGCAAAGCATATTATCAACTACACGAAGAAAATATACTGAATTCATTCAACCAGTGTTTGTAGCAAAAGTATTGTAACAGAAATGTTAATCACAGACAGAAAAATAAATAATTCATTAGGTATTTGGGTATGAGCCACCGAGTTGCCCAAAGAGAAATAAGTGGTGCAGGGTTCGAATCTGCAAATTAGAGGTTGGAAGTCGAATGGCTAAACCACTAAGCCACAGTTTAATGCACTGTTATATACAAAGTATGCAATGACGTAAAACTCATCTGTTCAAGTTGTTACACCTCATAACACGAAAACGACAAGATATGTAGTGTGCGAGTATGAGATAAATCTTGTTTGGGTCATATAAATTAGGAAATGAAGACAACCTAACCTAACGGTATAACAGATAACAGCGTACTGATCATTCCCATGCGAGTATCTAAAGAGATAGACTACAAAAACCAATTGATTTTTTATTTGATATAAATTTAAGTTAAATTTATCATAGTGAACGTGTTTATTTTATTTCCGTACTTTATTCGAAGCGAAACTTTTCCACTGGATTGTTTTACTGCGTCAATATTGTAAGTATTGCTGCAATTTTCATTACTGAGATCAAGATTCTGAATGTATTTATTGTAAAGATTACGTCATATAGCCAGCATTATTTTCTTTAGACTATACAGTAAGATTAACCTTTGAAATTTGTGATGAATGGATATTCGGCTTGCAAAACAAAACCTGGATTTAGTTCATCCATCGTGAGATCAGTTTTATAAAATATTATAGGCATGATAATAAATAATCCCAGTCTAAGAATATGCAAATGTACGATTAGTTTTACAGTATATATATATATATATATATATATATTGTGTAGGCCGTTAGATTAAGACTTTTATGTTTAGTACTCAGAACTTAAAAAGATTATATCAATAAAAACAAGGGTACATCAAAACTACAGAAACACAATGATGGATCATGTTAGTTGTCAAGATAGCTAGTTTTACGACAAACTGATCTATTCAATTATTCTGATGTTTTCAAAATAGTGTTGTTGAACCGAATGAACGATTCAGTAGACACCAACCTTTGAGATCAACGGGCTGGATTCTGTAAAGACCGGTCGTGCACAAACGAAATAGCGACAATAGGGATCATCGTTGCACAATCAATTGAGTGAAACTAGCTACCAAACATTAACTTCCTTGATTATGAGAAGACATTTGACGGTTTGGTTAGGAGAATATTATAGGAACTTATTCGACACTATGGTGTACCTGAGAAAATCGTCAACAACATGAGGAATTCATGCGACAAACTACAGTGCAAAGTGGTGCATGAAGGACAGCTGTCAGATGCATTCCAAGTGAGGACCGGAATGTATCCACCTTTAATAATTTAGTTGTAAGTTTATTTCGCAAATATACCAACAATAAGGCTTATTTGTTCATCAATATCTTTCTGCATTAAACTGCGATAGTAAGAATTAACAACTCTATTATTTCCTGTCAAAGAAAAAGAAATATAGACCGTTTGTGAAAAAAGTTTCCCTTGTCAAGTACATAATTAAGAGGTTATGTTCCACGTTTCTTAAACATAACAAATAAATATGTTTCTCACGAAAAAAAAACATCACCAAAGTCAAAACAACAAAAGATTAAGAAATAATTTTCAAATATCAGATAAAATTCAACATACAAAGTAATAAGTAGAGAGGATAAAAACATCTGACATACTACATTGGGTATCCAACCTTCAGCAGATATACAACGATTAATACACCACCAGAAATCCTCTTCAGTTTCGCCTTTCCATGCATAAATAGGAACACCGGACTCAGCTAACGCTGCTGCCACTTCATTCTATAAACGAACAAAAAGAATTTTAGTGGTAATAAAAATAATTACACAGTATTACCAGTGTTAATACAATAATTACAATATCAACGAACATTAAAAAGCTGAAAAATTTTGGGCATACAAAGATGATCGTCATGTAATTATTAATGGGAAAATAAAACTAATAATAGTGAAAATTAGAAGCATCAGAACGGCTGCTAAGTTAAGATAATTCAGAGGAAATGCGTTCATTAAAATTATCTTATATATTTTTGTGTTATTTATAAGTACAATACGAAAAAGACGATAGAACAGCCAACAATTAAAAGATCTCATATTTCTTAGACTACTACTCTGCCAGTCAACGATAACAAGGAAAAGCCGGAAGAGATTAACTCTTAGTTGTTAAATGATTTATTAAAAAGTAATTGAAGTACGTTTGAATTTAAAAATAAGTAGAATGGATCAGTGGAAAGAGTATTGAGCTGCATAGTCCCATGACGATGGAAATAGACACAAATAGCTTTTCATAGACTAAGAATAAATCCCTTTTAAGATTACATTTGAATACTATACATAAAACTACTAAATACATGAATTTTCTTTTTTGCAAGAAAACAACAGAACAACTTTGATCTAGGGAGTTGTGTTATTTGCTCATACTCATTTATAAGTTTATAAGTTGTAACTTCAAGAAAATTTATGGTCTGATTTGAAACACTACCAAGTTATTAAATCACATGACACTGTCCTGGTATGATATCATATAATAATTAAACTGTTTTTCATAGTCAACAGAGCACAATGACAACTAATGATTGGTGGAATAACAACAAAGTCTATAATAATCTGGAAACACAACTAATGTATCATTTGACTTGACTTGATAAATTCAAACAAATAAGGCATTGGGTAAATTGTTAACTAAAAAAATAATATATTTGTAATATCTCAATGGGTTACTTGTGAGTTTATTTTGAAAATATACCCACTTTAATCAAAAATATAAAAACTGTAAGATTTTGCACAAACGAAGCTATTTTATTTCTTATCATCCTTCTTCATTAAACAATTTTTCGACTCATTGGGATATTACATATATATTAATTCTATTAGTAATCCATTATTAAATACCAACGCCTGAAATGAAGAACAATCTTTTCAACGAATTTTCTTCAGGTTCCACAATTGTATAAATTCAGGTTAATAATCTAAAAGGTGGCCAAGTTTAAGGCAAAATACATATAACTCATATTACTTATTCTGACTATTAATCTTACAATTTCATTTAATGTATAAGGTTATTCAAGTTAATATAGGATTTCAACAGTTAAATCCATGAAACTACCATTGAAAACCTGGAAACACTGGACGGCCTGGCATAGGACTTCTTAGCAGTGATCATCCACGATCTCACACGAAAGATGCGAACCCAGGACCTTCGATCTCGCGCCCAAACGCTGTGAGAATAACCTCAATCGCCACAAATTTACATGCTGATAACACTAGATATTAGTCATTTCAACATTCACAGTTTATGTTATCTTCCAAACAATCCTAAATTTCTGCGTTATAAACTTATTTTGTTTTAAACCTGGCCACTTTCTGAACTATTAACAATATATAATTGTAAAGGAAGAAAACTTATTGAAAAGCATATCTTTCATGCATATATTATTAAATAGTATTGATACAGAGAAATATTACAAACTAATACTTCACATTCAAACGTAAGTTCCAAATGATTATTCCGATAGAAATACAGAATAATTGCTTCATCAAATATACGTTTTGATCAACGAATAACTATTAAATTGTAGCGAAACAATACACATATATTCAACTAATTATCTGAACCAATTAATTTATGAAGAAACTACTGATTTCACAGTACATATGTATTTGACATTAATAAATCATCTGGTAGAAATATTTTTGAGGAGAAAAAAACATTTAAATAAGTCAGTTTTCATCATCATTGCGCACAGTATGTGATATAAACTAAATCATGAAGTTTAACAACCACATAGAACTATATGAAATACGCCAGTCAATCAGTGAAACAATATTTTGTTGATGCTTATTTTTCAACATCGGAACTTGTGACTGATTTTATGTTTGTGAAACTTTTTCACTCAATAATTTTCAAGCAAATGATATTTTTAGACACAGTGAAGTAGACAGCTAACAGACGAAATGAAGACTTATTGACATAATTTGTTGGTATCTGGCGAACATTAACTCTGAATTATTTTATCCGTTACATCAAGATATGAAATAGAAATTTCTACAACGTTTATACTTACGAATTGTACAAATCATGTAGATTACTTTACTGGAAAAACTGCATACAAAGAATTTTTTAAACATGTACAATCCAAAACTATTGAAAAAGAAACTTTTCTAACATGGCCAATACATAACAGCACAAACATGGCTCACCTGTGTTGAATATATGTTACAAGCACACCATCGAACTTGAGCGCCAAGACATACCATTGTTTCAAGTAGTACCTAATTGATAGAAAATAATCTCTCTAAATGAATAAAATGTGCATTTAAACAAGAAAGTAGAAAGTAGAATAATTCATATTGAGAAGACTCAACGGCTTGTTATCATCAGCTAATCATTTTCAAAAATAAAATGACAGAATTATAAAGAACAATATGATTTTGAACCTGCTGTATTTAATTAATTAAACATGTTACAGTATATAGGCATGTATTCGATAACCGGAAGAAAAAATTAAAACTTAATTCAACAAAAAAATCTAAAGTTCATGTAGGCCCTTGAATATTGACAGCCGATTTAGTTATAGGACTTATGAATGGAAGTGTTAATATCAAATTATGAAAGGTCATTGAGCAAACACAATATGTCTTACACTTATAACAAAATTTTCTAAGCAGATAACTGACAACTGAATTGTTTTAATACTGTCGAACCTACTTATCCTAGGTGTTTACAGATATATGGATACTTGGATACAATCACAATATTTAAACTAGGTAATCAGTATATATTTATTTCATTCGACGATAGTAATAAATTTGAACTGCTACCAGATTACTCTGTTAGATAATTTGTAAACTTTGTATATATTAGGCTTCGTATTTTCTACACGACTTTCTAGGCAAATATAACCGGGGCTTAGAAGTGGTGGATTGCGGCTAGCAGTAGAATTCAGGACGCATATATTATCTCATCCAAAACTCGACAACCTAACGAACTTTTATCTCAGCGTTTACACTGGGACATGAACTATGTACCTTTCGCTTCGAATGACCAACGTGCTATTTGTTGAGCTACTGAGTTTAGATAGCTATCAACTCGTTTAATGGGTATGCTGTTTGCATCATTATTTTTTTTATTATCATCATTAGAAAGAGTTTGAGTTATCCCGTTGTTTACGTATATTCATCTGCCGAGTCCCAAATACAACGAAACGCATGTACTGGAAATCAATGTTAGCCACAATCAAACTATTCTAAACAAATTATGATATCATCGTAGTATATGCTACTTATGCTGACAGATATAAGTAGTATGAAGCCCCAATCAGTAGTGAAGGTCTGACAGCAGAAGATTGAATGAAGAGAACAGAAAGACCATCGGAGAGCAATCGAAGTAGCAACAGAACAATGGGGATGATTGAGTAGGTAAAAGGACAACGTAAAACTGTGAAAATGATGTATTTAATGTATGAGTTTCATATTTTACCAAGCCACTGGATGATTTTGCACTTAAAAATAAAGTGGTTTTCCGTATCTGGGTTCTCGTTCACTACACCATATCTATATTGACGTAATCTGCTTAGGATCCACACGTGCCAGCAAAGGCTAATCAAAATTCAGGGTTAATTAATAACGGATTAAATCAAACCAATACAAATAGTGATATTAAATTGTAGTGCATGCTACTGATGTCGACAGATATAAGTAGTATGTATCACCAATCGAAAGTGAAATGCCTGGTGGCAAACAGTTGGGGAAATCGAAAAGAAGAGAACGAGAACAGAGGGTAATTGGTATGGACACGAACGAACAACAACGTTTGAGACAATCGACGCATATTTGGCAAATGAAGTCTTTACAGTATGGTTCTCAGATCTTACCAAGATATTCAGTAATGTATTAAAATATATTTGATCGTCCTGATTGGTGTTCTTAATCACTACGATATAAATATTACCGGGATTTCAATTGTGAATACCATTTGATACGCATTATTTCCGTTTTTCGGATAAATATAACATATCAAGGGTCATAAATATCTGTTGTACTCCAAAGAATCACATCATATACAAATTATATTTGTGGAAATTTTAGCTATGTAAATTAAATTATTTCATTTCCACCCGATAATTCGATCTTAGCTTTTTCAAACGGAATGAGTTGTAAAACATTTAAGAATAAGTTATTAAACGGAAAAAAATACATATCCATGGTGCATATAATAATCACTTAAAACTATCTAACTACAATGTACAAAACAGAAACAAATCTCGCGGTTAAAAATCCTCACTCACAGCTGTATGCGCGGTCACGTGTGTACAACCGAGAATTTTGGCTCCTTTTAATGGCTGATCAGTTTTAGCACGCTTTCTTAATGCCATCAAACCAGGCATTTCTTAAACAAATAATAAAAAAATTAACCATAGGGGAATGAAGCAAACAATGGGTCGTTAGTTAGTTTAGTTAATTGATAACAATCCATATTAGTAAACGAACATATATATATATATATATATATATATATATATATATATATATATATATATATATATATATAATGTCGATTTAACATTGAAACAAACATAAACAACTATTCTAAATAAAAGAAATTTGAAAAATATCATCGTTATATACGAATATTCGTCAAGATTAGAACGAATAGTTTGACAGTAATTGAGCGCCGAGTATAGAGAAGTCATTGAAATTTCAATCGCTGAGAATATTTCAAATATAATTTTCACATATAATATCATCGTTATAATTAAGGTAACTAGTTTGAAAAGTTCAATATCCTATATAAATAATAACTATATCCGTATGTGCATATGTGTCTTCCCTTCATCGCTTTTATAATTAATACAGTAAAAATTCATTGACAGGATTTCTTAATGTCAAATAACATCCAGTAAATATACATTTGTTATAATGATAGTAAAAAAATGTTTTTTTTTAAAAAGGCATATGATTTACTGAAAAGTTTGATTTTTATTATCTCCATCGTATAAAATGTTAAATAAACAACATACAATTAGGCGTATATACATGCACATATTTTTATTCAAGTTTAATAGATATATATACAATATAGAAATGAATAAAAAGTTAATTATATATATTATAATATTTATTATGATCATGTTATTAAAAAGTCAAGTGATAGTAACTAGCTGTTTTCAAAATACTGGTGGACACTTTTTTTTTGAAAAATTTGTGCATGTGAATGATACTATCTTATGTTTAATCAATGGGTAACATGTGGAGTGAGAAAATATATAAATAGAAAAAAAACTTTTGTTTTACGAAAAATAAAACAAACTAGTTGTGCTTTTTGTTTTCAATCACTGTCAATAAGGATAATGTAAAATACCATTTCACCTATTAACACGTGTTTTGTTGAATGTAACGAAAAAATAAAAGCTATGAGATTAGTTATGAACTTCAATGTAATAATCTATATACTAATATAAGATGGTAGATAAATGCCAGTTTAAAATAAATTAAGCTTTTTAAACAATGAACTAGGAAAAGTTCAGTTGGATTAACATTCAAAAGTATTATTCTTAAAGAGTTAGAGACGTTTCTTTACTAATGAAATATAGTTTATCGAACAAAAGGAACATAAACATATAGGAACATGAAAAACAATTAAAAAGACTACATTGATGTTAACAACCGTTCCTGCAATTAGCAAACTGTTAACAGAGAATTCTATAAATTTGATGAGATTGTTCACTGGAATAAATCCATAACCAATAAAACGATTGACCGAACACGATGATATTTTATACTACCCAGTGAGTTACTAACATAGAAAATTGATTCTTAATTTAAAATTCAATTAACTTATTCACCAGGTATTGGGTAAGGAGCCACCACACTCTAAATATCCAGAATTAATGAACATAAACAGTTGCTCAAACCCAAACAGGCGAGGGGTTTCGAACCTAGAATTTACTAGCAAAAATTCGAAACCCCATAATTACCAAGCCACCGCTTCACCTTATCCTACAAGTGCATAAATAAACATCCAGTTAGTTAATTGTTTAATTATCAGACAACCGTTTACTTCAGGAGTCTGTATCATTAAAATATGATTTTTATGAGTAAATACTACTAAGTAACAATTCACTTTAATTTCGACTGACTAATAAGTAACTAGAACCACATGAATATATTAAGTGTTTCCGGTATAACATTGCAACAATTACAGGTGGAAAAGTGAACATTGACGATGATTTTAACTAAAAAAACTATAAAAACTTCAAAAGTACAGTGGATGTACAACCAAGTTAACAAATTAATAATAGACACAAATTCACAAGTAAATTTAATTCAAAAAACAGTAAAGACAGAACTGAGAAGAGCATAAAGTCAAGTGGTTACTGAAGGTTGAACAATAGCCCAACAGATTATGTAAATCCAGTGATAGGGAAAAGTAGGCTGACTTAAAGGGTAAAATTAGCGGAGCTTTGATAATGAGAAAAAATATTCTCAAGTGGATCCTTAAGAATAATGCTATGGAATTAAGACGATCCAGATGCTTTCGACCGTAAGCGGTTGAATTTACAAAATGTAATCAAGTCACATTACTTCTGTATCAATATTATTCTAGCTACATTGAAATTCATAAAAAAAATGTATCAACTTTATAACACTGTAATTACCTTGTTCAGCTATTTCAATTTCTCTACGTCCAAAAGAAGCTTGACGGATTTTTTGAACACAGAAATCATTGAATCCTCTAGAGTTTACCTATTATGCGAAAGAAAGAGCCTTTTTAACAGAAAAAAACATTCATTTAGAAATTCTTACTTAAATTGAAATTTTTTCTTTTTAACTTTCGTGGAAAGAATAAAAACATATATGTTTAACTTTTGAAGAGAATATCAATAACAAAGATGTAGTATCGATAACAGAAACCAAGGTTTGAGTGAACAATACCCCTATCGATTAAACTGATAATTCATTAATGATCGGTAGCCAATTTACAAATGACAGTAAGAAGGTAGTATGTGAAGGAAAAATTAGGGAAGAAAATCAAACATACAGAACCAAACGATTTATGAAAATATTACGTGACGATTTCTGAAAAAAGCAGTGGCAGTAAGTGATGGAAAGTAGAATCTCTAACATAAAACATGACACTGACACACGAAGCTAACGACATCTGGTTTCAATTGAGTAAATTGTATGCTTTTTCGTTGAGGCAAGTAAAGAAAACAAAATCGTAAAGTTTGAGTAGCATACTACTTTATACAATTTATCACATGCTTTTATTTGCTTATTTCGAGATTATGTGAAGCTGAACTATGCGAGTGAGTTTGAGCAACTCTTTAAATGATCTTGGTAAATTTTTTATTCATTCAGGTAATCGTTAAAATAGCAAATACAAATGACTGATTTATAATGCTAGGACTAGTTTTTAGGTTAATTTTCTTCATAACTTTTTAATAAAAATTCTTTTCAACAGAATTTAATCTCACAATTATATCATCCTTAATTTATCTAACACTGATAAGCCAAGTGATGCACAATCAGTGTAGTGGTAATGGTAATTTATTTTGTCGTGTTGAGTAGGCAACGTTATAAAAAGGTAATTAACTGTTTTAAACTTTAAGCATACATCTATTTACAAACGATGGTTGATTCGATAAAGTAGAACAAATAATCAGATGGTAATCCAACAAAGTTCCGTAAATTTTAGTCGTAATGAAAATGCAACGACAAAAACGAAAACAAATTTGTAAAATTTGCATTTTTTTCCGTCAATAATTATATCATCTTTGAATTTTTGAACAACCATCAGACTATTTCTTATTATCATATTAAACTAACAGAATGAAACATATAAGGTGACATATTTTTACGAAACTTACAGCTCTAAGTCCAGGTTTCAAATAACGTTCCTTTGGACTTTCACGTTGTTGACTTTCTTCATCATCATCATCTGAACTAGATCCAGTATATGATGCTAAATAATAAAAATTAAATGAATAGCTTAGCTTTGATAAACAGAACTGTATAAAATACAACTCTATAACATATTGATAAAAAGCTGATCAGTAAAGCTGAAGAATTTCAAAGTAAACAGATATAATTAACTCAATTATGTTGATCATACCAGGCGAAAGTAATTTCAATACTTAAAAATGATCAACATGATAGTAAAAAAAACTGATTAAATCAATTTCTTTCAACGGTAATTTTTTTCCCAATTAAGCGGAATAATTTAGTGTACAGTAAACAATTTTAAACTATTGAAAACTAAAGAGGTTATTCGAAGTGAAACTGGCCCACTTGACGTGCCTTTTAGAAAGACGTGTTTTTTGCTTTTATAATCGTTCAATGAACTCCGCCTGGAGTCACTCCAGGGGCTACTGCCGATCCCAAGCCCGGATAAAGGGGGAGGGTTGGACACGGGGTTAGCGACCTCGTCCCGTAGAAAACCAACTCGCTAAAAAACGCTAACCAGAAAAAATTATTCAAACCTTTTAAACTCTGTTCTGGGAGTCAGAAGGTCTTCATTTATGACGCCTCATGAAGAAAGCCGAGTTCCTTCGGGTTTCACGAAAACGATGCCCCTTCTGGCAACCAGAGTAACCATTTATATAGGTACATTGAATGCTCGTACAATGTGGGACACCGGGAGAGCCTTCCAAATTACTGCAGAAATGAGGAGATACAACCTGGATGTGCTTGGGATCAGTGAAGCACATTGGACACAAGTTGGACAACAACGACTAACTTCAAGGGGGCTTCTGTTATACTCCGGCCATAAAGAAGAAAATGCCCCATATGCACAAGGAGTTGCATTAATGCTATCCAAACATGCACAAAATGCACTTATGAGATGGGAATCTCATGGACCAAGGATCATCAAAGCCTCCTTCAAAACAAAGAAAGAGGGCATTTCAGTGAACGTCATCCAATGCTATGCACCTACCACTGACTACAATGAAGATGCTAAAGATCAATCCTACAATAAGCTGCAGTCAATCGTCGAGAATTGCCCAACAAAGGACCTGACCATCCTGATGGAATATTTAAACGGCAAGTTTGGGATAGACAACACCGGATATGAAAACATCATGGGACGACATGGACTGAAAGAAAGGAACGAAAATAGTGAGAGATTTGCAAACCTATGTGCCCTCAATTAACTGGTCATAGGTGGCACCATATTCTCACATAAACTCATACACAAAACCACATGAACTTCACCGGATCACACTACGCAAAACCAAATCAACCATATCTGCATCAACAATAAGTACAGGAGGACGATGGAGAAAGTGAAAACTAAGAGAGGAGCTGATATAACATCAGATCATCACTTGCTGGTCGCCAAGACGAAATTGGAACTCAAGAAGCACTGGACAACGGGGCGGACAATATCACAAAAGTTCAATACGGCCTTTCTTCAGGATACTAACAAACTCAACAAATTCAAGATAGACCTCGGCAACAAGTTCCAAGCCTTTCATGATCTACTCAATGGAGAAGGAACTACTGTGGAGAGCAACTGGAAGGGGATCAAAGAAGCAATCACTTCAACATGTCATGAGGACCTGGGTCACAAGAAGCACCATCACAAGGAATGGATCACTGTTGATACACTGGACAAGATTCAAGAAAGGAAGAACAAGAAGGCAGCAATGAATACCAGCCGAACAAGAGCAGAAAAAACCAAGGCACAAGCTGATACACAGAAGTAAACAAGCAAGTGAAGAGGAGCATCAGAACTGACAAACGCAAGTATGTGAAAGATTTAGCAATGACGGCGGAAAAGGCAGCAAGAGAAGGAAACATGAGACAACTGTACGACACAACAAAGCAACTGTCAGGAAATCGCCGCAAACCAGAACGACCAGTGAAAAGCAAGGAAGGCAAGGTAATCACCAACATTGAGAAGCAACGAAACAGGTGGGTAGAATACTTCAAAGAACTCTTAAATCGACCAGCCCCACTGAACCCACCCAATATCGAAGCAGCACCCACGGACCTCCCAATCAATGTTGGCCCACCAACAATTGAAGAAATCAGCATGGCCATCAGACAAATCAAGAGTGACAAAGCAGCAGGGCCAGACAACATTCCAGCAGAAGCACTGAAAGCAGACGGAGACCATTTGAAGATGTAAAAACCTTTACGTATTTGGGCAGCATCATTGATGAACAGGGTGGATCTGATGCAGATGTGAAGGCGCGGATCGGCAAAGCAAGAGCAGCATAGTTACGACTGGAGAACATTTTGAACTAAAAACAGTTGTCCACAAGTCAACACCATAGTCAGGATTTTCAATACAAATGTCAAGACGGTTCTACTGTATGGGGCAGAAACCTGGAGAACTACGAAAGCCATCATCCAGAAAATACAAGTGTTTATTAACAGTTGTCTACGCAAAATACTTCAGATCCGTTGGCCGGACACTATTGGCAACAACCTACTGTGGGAGAGAACAAATCAGATCCCAGTAGAGGAAGAAATCAGGAAGAAGAGCTGGAAGTGGATAGGACACACATTGAGGAAAGCACCCAACTGCGTCACAAGACAAGCCCTCACATAGAATCTTGAAGGTCAAATGGAAAGAGGAAGACCACAGAACACATCACGCCGGGAAATGGAAATAGATATGAGAAGAATGAACAAGATTTGGATGGAACTAGAAAAGAAGGCGGAGGACAGAGTGGGTTGGAGAATGCTGGTCGGCGACCTATGCTCCATTAGGAGTAACAGGCGTAAGTAAGTAAGTAATAGTTCAATAATAACTCCCTAGGTATTGAAAACTATATGAATAAAACTTATCACTGAATTATTATTAATCCTAAATCAAACTCTACTTACTATCACTTAATACTGCATACAGTGAGTGCATCGTAATGTCAAATCATTTATTCTAAAATTAACTTGAGAAACATTGACTCAGCACTAATAATTGAAGTGTGAAATTGACTTTTAAACATCGCTAACAGTTCACTTATTAACTAAAATATGCTAACTTATATAGTCTAAGTTTTACAGATATGGAAATGAACGCGTATATTTCATTCTGGAACGAAGAGGACTCAAAGTTTACAGAAAAACAACGAACGAGGATGTGCATCTCTTAAAATCAGTTATTAATTTCCAGATCGATAGTTTAGCATTGAGAACAAGCAAAACAATATCTACAAGAGTGAACTTTTCAAGGGTATTGTGTATTGATCCATTAAAAAATGGCTTTTTAATCACGAATGAAAAACAAGAGTATTTATGTATCTTTGTGTGTGCTATTTTTTTATCTGAAAGCATGAAATCAGGCAATATCGTTACTGTCGTACGATTTAAATTGAAAATATATTCTTATAAACATATTGTTTTCTAAGTATAAATGACGGGAGTTGGGAAAAATACTGGTTTACAATATACCACAAACCAGTACTCAAAATTGAAGTTTAAAGCTCTATCCCATTATGGGTACATAAAGCTCGATCGGAACGTGTTCTAACGTCACTTCCACTGAAGAGCATACACTTTGCATGAAATGAGAAAGCAATACAACACCTATTAATCCATTACTTATGAACTATATTCTGTAGATAGATTAACTGACTGATTATTATGGACTAGACGACGTGGTGAATAGAATGCAAAGTGAATCCGGTTATTCAGTATAAAAAAGTCATAGTTTATTTAGTACATTGTCAGAAAGTAAACTGTTTTCGATTTCCAAATGTATTTCAAAAAAATATTTAGACCTAGTCAATGAACGAGAAATGAATAATATTACATCATTACTGTTATGAAGAATTAAGTGTTTATGATTGATATTCAGATGTAACAAGTTAGACAGTATGATCCACATAAATTTTTTTATAAACAACTACCTACCATAAGCTCAGTTCATTTGGACGAATATGTTTTTTTATACAAAATTAGGACATAACAAGACACACATTAAGAAATACATTACAGTTCAGATGCCGAAATACAAAAATGAACAATATGATGCAATTAATAGCGTTTATAAAATTTATTTTTTTAAACACAAAACTAACGATAATAAAGAAGCGATTCAAAGTAACTGTAACAATTAGATATGAACCTTCACCAAATCAGTAATACAATAGTCAATCTGCTGCAATGTAGGACCAGGCATGTATATGCATCGGCCCATCTTGCCACACCTCATTGGCACAACAGGATGAAAACCACAATCATAAAAGTAGCTATTTCAATGGTATTAATATATAGAAAAAAGAACTGCATATAAGGACATGATACAGAGAGAAAGAATTAGTTCGTAGAAGGAAAGGTATAAAGTAAATTTGATCTCATGGTTTAATGGGGGACAAAAAGTGTATACACCTACACCATTGTGATCGATTCTGAGCCATGTCACCAAGAGTCTCAAACCACTTGTTACGATAGTCACGCGGACCCCAACCAAGTATTCTGCATCTACCAACATGACTCAGACTAGAAGTTAGTGACTTCAAGCACTGATGCCACGTTTTGGTTTGACCGCCCCTAACTTTCTTCCATCCATCTCCAACACTAGTCAGCATTGTGCGTCGAGGTAATCGGTGTTCGGGCATACGCAACACCTGGCCCAACCATCTCAGTCGATGAAGATTAACAACCTCATCAACTGATTTACCATCATTTCCTAATACCTTGTGTCTAACTTTACTATTACTTACCCGATGGTCCCAGCAGATGCGAGCAACATTTCTCAGGCACCTGTGGTCAAATACTAGTAGCTTACGAGTATCTTCTAACATTAGTGGCCACGCATCGCAGCCGTAAAGTAGAACAGAACGAACTGCCGCGCGGTATGCTCGTCCCTTAGTTGATAGACGGATATCTCACCTTCACCATAGGTGACATAAGTTGGAAAAAGCCAAACGAACTCTCTGAATCCGTGGGGAAATTTCGTCAGACACCAAGCCATTAGGGTTGATCAGACTTCCAAGATAAGTGAAGTTGTCA